ATAACTGAAGCAATTAGCGATCCGAGTAACATGTTGATTAGGACAATTAAGGAGCTTGTAATCATCTGGAAATCGAGATTTCAATGGATTTTTTAATTTTTAATATCTGGGACCTGAATCATCAACAACACCTCGGCCCTTGAAGCTTTCTCGCTTTTCTTTAGCTAAAAATTTCTTGATTAAAAGAAAGATTTAAAGAAGATACCTTTTTGAGATTTCGATTAGTCACAAAATCGAGACTACATGCGAGAAAATAGAAAGAGCTTTGAAATAGAAAGTAGAGGTTATAGTCGAACCAAGCTGAGGAAAGATTGCCAAGATAGATGCTGCCGATAACGATCAGATATGGGAGAATTAGTTGAATTAGAGGCCATCTGCGAGTGTGATGGAAATAGAGACCGTTAAAACTGAGCGCCATGAAACGGCTGAAACAAAGTCAACAATAAAAATGATTGTAATAGGCCCAACTCGGCACTTTTAGACCGAGTCAGTCTTAAATGTGCATCAATGGCACAAGTTATCTAATAAAATTCACGTCGATCTTTTTACGGTCTTTCAAGTTCCGAACAGAATCTTAGCGATCATAAGGATCTCGTGACACTTCGAGATTTCAAGATCTTCAAGGTTATGATTGGCTTGGCCTTCGGTCTAACTTATGGGCTTCTATGATTGAATGTTCTTGGGCCAAGGACTAAATATTAAAACGGCTTTGATTCTTTGGCTTTTCGAAATCTGACCCTTCCCTAGTTAACTAACATTGCCGCTTTTCTAACTAACCTTGCCGATATCATGGTTTGACAAAATTGTGAGATATCCAATGGATAATAGTCATTGACAGCAAAATAGGACCACCAGACTACATTATTCACGAGATTTGAACATCTAGAAAATGTTCCTTTTAGTCGAATCTTTTAACCAACTCAATGACCGCGTCATAAGGATGGCAAAGATAAAACGATAGAAAAAGAAAAGCCAAGAGGAATCGGTTAAAGCATTCAGCGATCGCCAATAAACTGAAAAAGATTCTATTTCTTTCTCAACTATTCGTACCGTATCGGCAATGAAAGTCGATCATTTGTGGCCGTGATAAAGATTGCTATTGGATAGGTGCCAATTGTAAGAAATATTAACTGAAACCAGAACTTTTTAGCAATAAAATGTCAAAAACAAACCCAATTGTTTATTTGAATGTCAAAATCGACAAACTTATACAACAATTCATCCGAAATATCGGGCGGATTGGCGAAAAGTTGCATTTCCTGTCCCTCGAGCCAACCAGCGAACGAGGAAATTGCTGAAAAAGTGCTCTAAACGATACCGGCTTGGACAAAGATGTGCTAAACTTGGCAAATCAAATTTTCAGGCTTGATCTAGCTTTTTGGAAGTGCAAGTGGAAGTGTAGATTCATTATCGCTATCCTATTAGGCTTTCCAGAAAATCTTTTCGTTCCTTTTTGTACTTCCGTTTTAAACCAACAAATGCACCAATTGAACTAGAAAAGCCAATTATTTTTCTTTCATTCAATTCTTTCATTTCATTATTTTTCTGCAAAACAACATTAGAACGGGTTTAAAATGTTTTATGTCTGGATTTGGGAGCGTGAAGTCGGATAAAAAGAGCGACGGTTCGATGATACGGTTTGGATACTTTAGCTAAGAAAACCTATCTTTATGTCAATAGATAAAAGATAGAGCACAAAAAGTTAGGTATATACCCAAATTTTCAGAGAAACTCATTGAGCCAATTTCTTCGTAGAGGTTTTTATAGATTTTCTCTTAGATTAGACATGTGTTTTCTCTATCGAATTTGCTTCAGAGTGAATTCAAAGTGACTTAAAAGATGGGAACTTAAAAGAACAATAGACACTTTTTATTTTGAGTAAATCATAGATTAACTGGTGAATTTGTTATTTTTCAACGAAGTACGAAAAAGATAGAAAAGACTTTCTGGGGAAGCTAGAAGTCCCTTAATTATTCGATGAAATGACCTTTTTGCAAAGAGAAATCTTTTTGACTACAGTAATAGAACAATTACGGTGCCCTTTGCCTACTGTAAGTATAAGAATGACTACAGTACTGTACAATACAAAGCCTAGGTGGAACGAACCCATCAAAATCAGCCAAATGATCAAAACGAGTAACGGTTCGTGGTACTCTTCCCAAACGCTTTTTATGCGATTTAATGAGGATTTCATTTAGTTTAGATTTATGAATTTTTTTTATTAATATAAATAAAGCTGAATTCGAAATGAAAACTGGAAAAAGTTCGTTTGTTTATTCTCTATATGAAACATTATTTCATATGTGGGCAGATTTTCAATAAACCCTTCAATTATTGGCCTCATATCAAGTTCTGAAGAAAATTATGAGATTGATCTATAATTATCACATCTTGTGATCATTTTCAAAGTCAATCACGTCTTTGAGAGTGATTATGGGATTGGGAATGGAAAAGAAGAACAGAAAGGCACCAGGACATGGTTTTTTTTATGTTCCATCTACTAAACTAGAGTCGATTTGGAGGCTTTGTACCGGACTTATATTCTGTAAAGTAAAATCTAGCTGTTATGTCAATATTCTTATCACAGTTGTTCTCTCATAGAATAACAAATGTTGATTTCTCATTTCCGCGCAATTTCCCTATGACTTATCAAAGTGATCTTGCGAATTCGATCTCATAAAAGAGAAAGCTATAAAATGAATAACGAAACTGTTAGTCAATGGTATTTCTGTAATGTTTTCTTTCATCTTATGGATTTGTCTTTTGATGACGGTACGATTCTAGATAAATAACCAGTTGAGAGAATTTTTCAGATCGAATCTACTGATGTGACTGAAGAAGCTCCCACAAATGCACCTGCGAAAACCACAGCTATGCCAACGACTACAACAATGACTACTAGCAAGTTTTAGAGCTTTAGGGCAGAGTTCGGCAAACAAAACCAAAACCAAAACAGACCAAAACCAAAACCAAAACCAAAACCAAAACACCAAAACAAACCAAAACAAACCAAAACCAAAACAAACCAAAACTCAATTTGCATATAAATTAACATGTAAATTTAAAATTGTAAAATGTAAATTTAAAATTGTAAAATGCAAATTTGTCTTTCACTTTTTCTCACTCCACAAAATCTCGCGGCCGAAAAAAGGACCAAAACACGACCTCGAAATTTCGAAACAAAAAATGGCCTATGGGATATATTTTTGGATGCTGATTTCAAATCTACAAACAGATTTTCGCTAGCTCCTCCCAGTCGCGAGATATTGGCGAGTTTTGGTTTTGGTTTTGGTCTGTTTTGGTTTTGGTTTTGTTATGGTTTTGGTGGTTTTGGTTTTGGTTAAGTTTTGTTTTCCGAAGTCTACTTTAGGGTTTAAGTTACAGTTATTGTTAGAGTACAGAACTGTTTAAAATGAATTCAAAGCTTTGAGACTGATCAATTTCACGTGGGATATTGTGATAGTTATCTCAAGTGAGCAGCTTTTACAGCATCTGCTGTTCATTTACATTCAGAATATAATCAATCTTAAATAAATGAAGCTTTACTGGATTAACTGCTCATAGTTTCAGGCAGCTTAAACCCCTTCCTTGGTGAAGGAATGAGAGTAAATGCATGAGTTAATGGAACTTCAAGTGAGTGAGACTTAGCTCTTACATTTCAGCAACAAATCTCGAACAAGCAGCCTCACGCGAGTGCCTTGAGGGAAACCAGGGAAGGGCTGATGCGATCGATGTTTGCTTCAATATGGATAACTATTACAATTGCACGTAAGAAATTTACTTCTATACTAACTATGCAGTGTTTACCGTGTTTGGGACAAAATTGCATTCCTGGATAGCTGAAAACAAGGTTGATTGTTGGGTTAATTTGTATCGAGCCATCCTTGACTTAATACTAGTTTACATATAGAATTGATTTTTCTTGATTTAATATGGCTGGCATAAGGTCATTCTTTCATAATCAAGGTAAATTAGCAGTCAGAAAAGACAGTGTCTCCAATTGTAAGATTCCAGTAGCTTGCTATTCAATTCACTGTTGTGAGTTCCAGCTAATAGCTTAACCAAAACAAAAAGTGTATTTGATACTGAGGAATTCGAAATAAACTCACGCACACGTGATTGACCCGTAGTTTTTTGAGGCGGGCACCCCGGCACAGACCCGGCACTTCACTGTCAAATCAACGATCTCTTAAACCATTTTTTGTTCAGCTTGAAGCTCGACGAAGTCGACTGCTACATTAATGAGCGAATTAGGCTTTGTGAAACGAACTTAACCGAATACACCCAAAGAATCATGTGGAAATTCGTGGTGAACTGGGTTTGTCGATCAAAATTTATCCCATTTTAAATGCTTTAGATCAATGAGATCCATTCCGGGAATTGCACAGAGTACTTGAAGGACGAGCTCGGTTCTCGTTTGGAACCAAAAATGAATTGGAGAGCTCAAGAACAGCTTATTTCCCGTCAAGAAGGCTCAAAATCGGTCGAAATGGAAAAATGGAGCCACAGAGGTACAATACTAACATTTCTTTGTTGGCCAGGCCTACAGTGAAGACAGGACAGGCAACACCAGAACTTATGGGCCTCTTATACGTTGACGTATTTTCTGAAACGTGTCAATTCTCTTGGTTACCATAATCTTGCCTCTAAGCAAAATAATTAATTGACTTTAGGCAACATCGTGATTAGCAAAGATTCCGTGGGATGGCTCGACAGAAGGGAGAAATAAATCGTTTAATGAAAAACATGTCAGACAAGCTTAGACTTTATTGCACAAAGTATTGATTTAGGCCTTTATTAAATTATCATCCAAGTAAAAACACAAACAGACGACGAATTGTGTAGGGCTACGGTAGGATGTGTCACGCTTTAACGCACCTACCTGACTTGACATTCTGATAAGTGTGCAAGGGACAGATATGATATTGATAACTTAATGCAATCTTCAAAATTCTCCAGCTTCAAACTCTAATACTATTTAGGTTAAGGTAACATCTATTAACTGCGTTAGGGCTACGGTAGTCACGCTTTAGAGCACCTACGCAAGTTGGCAAAAAAGCTTGCTAGAACTGTTAAAATATCTTAAATTTTCCAATTCCACAGCTATGACTTATAATTTTTTCAAACTGTTTTCTGAAGTGTTTCTTTGAACACTACCGCAAAATCCCATTCAGGATCTGTAGTGCATGAGAAAACGGTGATATGATAAACTCGAAATAAAATCTCGCCCATTCAAAGAAAGGGTACAGCTAAATAATTCCATCAGTCGGCTCAGTTTTTAGTTTTTTTTCCGAATGTCCAATTCTTAACCCAATTTTGCGGGAAACGCGTTGTGTTTGTACAAATTAGAAAATTTTCTGCTAGACGTTTAATCATCAAAAATTTACAATTGCTCAATATTTTATCAATATAGACTTTTAATGGCTATGTACTCGTATTTTAATCGAATCGGATACTCAAGAACATGGGAAAAATTTCAAGACCTTTTCTTGGTTTTGGCGATTTTCATTGGATTGCTGGGTAAGTGAATCATTGAAGGATTGAGCCTGATATTCTAATGTCACCATTTTAGCAACTTATTCACTATCAGTCAACCTGTACAATCAAAACTGGACCCTATTAACAACACCGATTGATATCAGTGATGATCTCGGGAATGAAATTGGTGATATCATACTGGCCATGACTGATTGGGTAAGAGATTTATTGCTAAACAAAGTGAATGAATCTAATTTTTATATTGGAATGTATGCAGTACATGATAGTACTAACAGAATGCATGCAGTAGTAGCGAACAAAAACACAGCGTATTTGCAGAAATACACAGTAGAGTGTGTTACCGGCAAACAAAGCTAACAATAAGCAAGACATTTGTGAATTTATTAACTCTTTCCATGGCAATGCCCAACATGTATATTCCCAGTGGCCCAGGAGCTGCAAGATAAATTATTGGGTTGGTGAATTGAAAACTGCCGGCGATTGTCATATGTCACAGTTTGAGCACTTTTCTCAAAAGAAACCCATTTTGGTGTCAATGGAAAAGTTGTAGAGAATCAAAAATGAAGTTTATATTCAAATTTTCAGAACGATTCAAAAACTGGTTTTCAAGAAATGCCAAATTTACGAATTTTCACAAAACTTCCATTTTAAGCGAAACTACTAAGTGTATCTTTTTGGAAATTTGGCTATAAGCCTAATTTTTGATTCTCTACAACTTTTCTATGGACATCAAAATGAGTTTCTTTTGAAGAAAGTGCTCAAATTGGGACATCTCCAGTCCGCGATTTTTGAGTCTCACACTTGTCTCACACACAAACCAAAATCCTACTACGAAAGAGGAATCCGCAAATTGCCTGTAAAATGGGCAGAAGTCGTCAATAATAATGGAAATTATTTGTAATGAATTCATGGTTTTATGTTGAATAAATTTTAGTTCAAAGTCCGGCAGTTTTCAATTCACCAACCCAATAGTGACAAAGCCAAGTCCAACCTGTGAAATCTAGAAAAATTTTTTGTTGACCAGAACTGCAGTAAAGCCAGAGCAGTCAAGACCAATAACTAGGCCAGAACCTGGCTAACCCTGCTCTTGCCTGACTCAATAAAATTCCTTTAGATCAACCTTAATGCTTAGCAAGTCAAAAGTCAATTTTACAATTTTGTCAAAAGTCAATTTTGCTTCCATTCAGGCAGTGATCTTGAGTCTCTTCACCACTCCATTGGCTGTCTATTTCTCGGCAACAAATGATCGATTATCGTTTCCAATACGGTAATTCAAATTCATTGTTCTATCCAATTCCACATTCAGATTGCTAGCTACCGCTGAAAATGCGAACAAATTCGTGTTCGCAGTTGTGTATGCCTTGATGTGTTATTGTAGCGTTGGCTTTGTGCCGTTTGTGTGAGTGATTGTGAAATGATTGGTCAATAGTTTCCTGTTTAGATGCTCACAAAATACGACCATCCTTTTCTCTCAGATCTATTCCTACGCGAACTACTATGATCTCATCGATATTTCACAATATTGTCAGCTTTTGATATCGTTTAGGTGAGCGGAAACTGTTAGTTTCGAAGGCACATACATGGTGAAATGGTGAATTATGGTGCAATTTTATATTTTCTTTTACTATTATGATAAAATTTTATCGTAGATAAGCTGTAAAACCAGTCAATTGGTCAGCTGTAAAACCTGCCTATCGGCGAGTTTTAAAGCTGGTGTGTCGTGGGAACTGTCTCACTAATAAATGTTATTTTTTTTTGCTTTGTTAAAGGGGCAGTTCGCCATAAAAATTAGCTTTCTCAAATCATGTTTTTATGACACTCATATGTAGTTTTACTCCTAACCACGAATATATCATTAGAAAAAAACGTTTCCATTGTGGTGAGAGTTCTTCCCCTCTCGGGCCGAATAGACCCCCACCTTTTCACGCCAAGCACTTGCCTTTACTATTCTGCTTTGCATTTCGAGTACATTTATACCTTAAAAACCTGGCGCTTTCGGTGCTTCTGCGTATCTTTCTATCCCGTCCAAGTGGAGTCTTTCCTCACCTATCTAAGAAAGACTCCCGGAATAGGTAAGGGGAAGATTACTCTCTTTGGGGGTTTGTTCTGGTGGGATCAGAAAATACCGTAAATACTCTAATAGAAGCCCCCCCCCCGTCGCTTAGTCTAAGTTTAATCTCAAACAAACGTTCACATCTCGACACCAGTACGTTTGTTTCTGCACGCTTGGATATCAAATTAAAGTAGAGACCATGGGTGATTTTTTGAGATATAACATTTTTCAACATTAATCAGCGCTTAGAACAAAATGGTGGAAAACGTGGCAAAAAAACCCGATTTTTCATCATTTTTTAATGATTTTTTTTCTAAGCGCTGGTTAATGCTAAAAATATGTGCTATATCTCAAAAAATCACCCATGGTCTCTACTTTAATTTGATATCCAAGCGTGCAGAAACAAATGTACTGGTGTCGAGATATGAGCGTTTGTTTGAGAGTAAACTTAGACTCCTATACGGCGGGCTTCCATTAGAGTATTTACGGTATGCAATTTTTGAGTTTTCTAAAAACTTCCGAAGGTGTACATAGGAATAGGAGTGCCGCGTCTGCATGGCAGGCAAACAGACGCTTTATTTTCTTTTATCTAGTTAGATATCAATTGATCACAAGATCTTTAAAGCTTACTTTCTTAATTGACAGTCTTAAGCAAAAAAAAAAGTCCAAAATCAAATTCCAGTCGTTTCCTTGTGTTTGCCCTTGACGGTCAATATTTTCGTTATGCCCTCAAACTCCCAGTTCTTCAACTAATCTTCCCGTACGCACTCAGCATTGGGATCACTTATCTCAATAATTATATTCTCGACACATTTTCCTATTTTGCTTTCTACGATCTCTTGACTGGTCCTTACTTTCTAACTTGTGCCATGGACTTTGTGACGAATCGGAAAATGAAAAAGGTTTGAGAATTTGAACTTAGTCCATACTAACAATTTCAAAATTTCCCTAAAATTCACTTTTTTAGATGAAAAGCAGCGGGAAACGGGTGTCTAGAGTGGAGAATTTGCTGATGCTACAGGTTCGGCTGAAATTTCAAAACCAAAATCATTCAAATTTGCTTCCAGATGATTGCCAACTCTATTCTGAACTTATCAAACACAATCCTAATCTATATTATAGCAAATACTTGCAATTTGTTCTTCGGTGGAAACATCTCTAATGTCATTTTTGAAATAATGACCTTCAATCAATCATTTCTTTTCAGTTTGGTGGCAAGGTGAATATTGGTTTCAGCAAAGTTGTACAAATCTTTCATTTTCTGTTTCATTTAAAGGTTTTATTCTATTTTAGCACAATCAGCGTGTTTTGCCTCCGGAAACCACGAGAGAAACGCACTCAAAACGGGAAAACGATCAATGTCACAGTGACCACATTGGACCCGATCTCAAGATTACGATAGTACCTTTAAATCCTTTAATCGTGATAAATTTTTGATTGTGCCTTGAAATAATGTTTTTTTTATTATAAAATCGAAAAGCAACTGAACTTAAATAATTCACAGGTTTATTTTTAATCCAGCAAGTGTTCAGGTAACGTGGGTGTAGCAAACAAGGGTCAAAGCCAGACGCAAAATGTTCCGTTATTTGTGAAAACGTGCCACTGGATAGAATCCAGTAATGTTTTTTTGGCTCTTGAGTAGAATCCTGGACTTTTGGTAAAATTTGATAAATTAGGACTTGTGAATCTGTTGCACGCATGTTACCTAATTAGCATTTGTTTTGAAAATTTGCATTACATATTATATGTGCAAATATGCATTTGAAATCTGCTAAAAGGTTTGAAATGGCTTTTAAATTGCGCCATAGGCGACACCCGTGCTAGCCCGTGATGTGCGGCCGCGAAGTGACCTGCGGCACACCGTATTGGTTATGGGCCCACAAGGGTAAAGTTCTATTCATTTGTATCCGAAACTTGATCGTACTGTTGTTTATTTGAAAAGGTAAATAAAGAATACCTGACTATCGAGCTTGGTTTTTGGTAACTTCTCAGCACTGCTCGGACTCGCAAAGTGATAAACTAAAAAGAGAAACTTTACTACGTCAAAATTAGCAAAACGAACCTTTTTCCTTGTTACGCCATGGATACTTCGGATCGAGTTCAGTAATTTCAGCGTATTTCGCTAACTAAATAAAAGCCATAAATAAAAATGGGGGAAATCGAAAACCCAAGCGTAAAAAGCAGAACTCAGTTTAAAAAGAAGAAACGCGTCACGAAAGCCGAAGCTCTGCTAATGATTCAGGTAAGCCAAAATTCTAGAGAAAAAATGAACCTATTCCAATTCAACATTCAAGTTTCAGCAGCTTCTCACCTCATTCTTCAACCTCATCAACTCAATTGGTTTCTGGGTTTTCATGAATTTCGCTTAGCTCTTTTTCAGTCGAAAATTGATTTTCACTCTGGCCATGTTTTTCGGTTTCAAAGGCATTTTTCTGTATTATTCTCTTGCAAGGTTCGCTTCTGTAAATTTCCTGAAATTGAAAATTTTAGCATTGCCAACTTGCTATTTCTTCGAAAGCGAAGAGAAAAATTGAAAAATATTCAAGTGATATCAAAGGGGTCAAATAATTACTGAAATTTGTATAAAACGCATAAATTATTGAGAAATTTTGCTTGGTTTTGAGGCAATCTTCTCATTCACCAGTTTTCAACAATTTCAAGTGATACAGACAGATCATTCATTGCGTTAAACTCCCGACAACTTCTAAAATTTTCAGATTTCCCGATTGCTGTCTTTTCACTTTTTTCAATTAGGAAAAAGTCCAATTTCGCTTCAAAACCGAATTTTCCGTTAATTTCTCTTTTCCCCGGGGATTCCCGAAAATTGTTTTACGACCAATTCTTTATTTTTGTCTCATGTTTTCAGGTGATCGTTCAACTTCCTTTATGGCTTTGTAATTAAAAACTCGTTTCGCGGCTGGTTCGGTGATTTTCAGAGGTTTTTCTTTATATTTTAATCTGTTTCTTGAAAGATTTGATACTTATAATGCTGGCTCTGCTGGTCTTTTTTTACCGCTGTGACACCGGTTTCAGAGATAGATGTGTTGAATAAATATACCATGAATATTTTCATTAATAGCCGATCATTTACCACTAGGAATAGGACTTTTTAGGCTAAATCAGGCTAGGGGAATAGATGTGTTGAATAAATTGAATACAAAATTTCAAGTTGATAAGTTAAATGTTTTCCAACTGTTTTCCTAGTTGCAATCACAGCACTGAGAAAAGTCAATCCCATAAAAAAATGAGCAAAGAGTTCCACTATCGCTTTATGACAAAAATCCGTTTTTTAAATCATCAAATCATCCGTTGTTTTAGCTACCACATTTTTTTGTACCCTTTCTACAATTTTGACACTTCCAGCTCTTTCAATGAACTTCCCATTCACTCAATTCCGAACCACCCTCTTCACTTCACTTCACCGAAGTTTCGATCTCATTTCGGTGCTCACGAATGGTTTACTCCTATATTTGATCGTTTTTCAAACATCGAAGTCATTTCGCTCTTATTCGATTATCCTAGCCAGGTAAATTCAAAACCACAATGGCTAATGGGAATTCAGTGTCACCCTTACCGAACTACTATTGGGATTTACGGCTGGACTCGCTATGGCCAGGTGAATAAAGATGGTTGCAGCTTAAAATTCATTTCCAGAGTGATCCCCGTTGGTTGGGGACTCGCCTATCAATTTCATGGCTTATGCCGGAAAATCTCCCCACAATTTTGTGTCGACGTGCACTCGATCACTTTACACTGTGTCGCCTATGCTTACTCATTGCTTCCATTATCATTTTGGTTAGCGGAAAGACGCTTTTATTTACGGAGCTTCAAATGGCCCTGATTTCTCTTATAGCCGACTGATCGGGCTAAAAACTGGAATATAAGTGTGAAAATGTTATAAAAATGAAATTATAACAGAATTTGAGTAATCTGACACATTTTCGACTTAATCTGCCTTCGTATAAGGCGCAACACATATCATGGGCCTCCCTGCGCTTATCAAAACCTGATTTGTTGAACTCATTCACATTCCCAAATCAAGCTCATCAAAAACGATAACTTTTGAAATGACAATACTACTCGGCTTTTCCAAAGTTTCCCCATGCTCAAATATTTTGTGAAACAAACCGGGAAAGTTGAGTCAAAAAAGCTGACATTACCTTCCAGGTACCGTTATTATGTACTCGTCAACGGCGCGCCTCGCCCGAAAACAATAGCCTTACTCTGTTTCATCTTTTACATTCCATCTTTTGTTTCAATGGTTTGTTTTGTAAAGCAAGTATGTAAAAATTTTCATGCTTAAGTCATTAAATAACCGGAATCCACTTTCAAATGCGAATGCTGGTGCCAGAGCTGGCCCATTAGGTGTAAAATTTAATAAAACAAGGCTGTTCAAAAGCTGTGAAAACCGCAAAATTTCATCAGTAACCGATTGAAAACTATAGTTTTCAGATATTGTTCGCCATTTCGACAAGTCCACCAGCTTTGGTGCGAAAAATGTTGGCGGAGCAACGGAATTCTTCACTTTTCCCCGATAATCCGAACATTGCGGCAATTGCTGGATTTGAGAGTGTTTGGCAGAAAACGTTTGTTTAGACGTAGCTATAATTGAATACGGTAACTGTATACATGGAATTTGAAAACTAGACGATAAAAAGGTGTATTTTCAGAACCTTAGCACTGATCAGTTGGTCTGGTTTACCGATTTTCCCTGGCTATACCGCATCGATCATCTATCGGACTCGAATTTTGCGAATTCTCGAGAAAAGTGCAATGAGTGAGAAGTCAAAGGAAATACAAAAGAAATTGGTTATGGTAAAAATAAGGCATAATTTAGCAAATCTGAAATTTGTTAAGGCTTTAACGATTCAAGCGATACTTCCACTTTTCATGATGAGCCAGGCGACCGTTTATATTTGGCGGCAGTTCAAATTACCGTGAGTTTGGCATTAATTGAACCGTTTCCTAAAAAGTGTGCTTGAAAAAAATGACCGTATTCTGTTAGGCTTAAATTTCTCATTGCCTACAAGTAAGTACTAGTAATTTCTCATTACCTCATTACAAAGAAGCAGAATCTGTTATGACTTTAGGTTTACGGTAGCTTTTAAAAGAGAATCTTTTAGAAAATGAGAGACATAGTTTTAAATTTAGTTTTTTTTCAATTTAGCTATGGTGAATCGGCTCCTTACTTCGAGGAATGCGTCTTCTTGTCGGTGGCTATTGTAAGCTTATTTTGATTCTTGATAAGCATGGGATCTTGATAGCATTGACCCAACCCAGCACCTTAAACTGTATTTGAAAGCCAATTCGTTCAGATCTTAATAACTTTTTGCAATCTACTATATATAAAAGAGCAGTGCCGTATACAAAACGACTGCCCTAAGGGAGTGTCGGGTTCGATTCCCGTCCGTTTCAAATTTTTTTGCTTTAAATGTTTTCATGCATGGAGTTGAAGTATGCAAATTTGAGTTGCCTCGCGGCAAAGGTATTGTTACAGAAAAACCGGTTTCGGCTGGTTTTGCCAATAAATAGAAAGAAGTTAACTAGGTTTGAAATCTGGTACATGATGAATCAGGTAATAGGTGCGGTTTCAAAATCGCTCTCACTCACAAGTTGTGAGTGACAACACAATGATTTCAGCTCAGCTCAATCAATCCATTGATCACAATCTATTTCGTTCCGCCGTATCAAAAGAAAGTCTGTCGGATGATGCTATTACCATTTTTGCGATCAAAGAGAAAAGTGCACAAGGCGAAATATGAGCAAAATGGATCAATCTCTGGGACGCCTCCATCAACAAAAAGTTCAAAAATGGATACGATTTTTTGAAAAAATAAATCTTGAGTGATACTCTAGATGTGTTTCTGACTATAAAGCACACAATTCCATCGTTAAACAAACCAAAAGTCATTCAAATAAACGACTACCTTTACCCCACCAATGCTGGCCAAATGAAATTCCAAATGAAATTTCGACAATGTTTTCGTGGCAAATGATAGAAAATCAGAAAATTTTATCAAATTACGAACCACTGAAACGATGGTGGTGAAAAATTTGGTCATTTCTGCAATGTTCGTTCTCAAATCGATCAAGTGCTCGAGAGCATGGGTGGAATTTCAGGATCTTTTTATTGTCATTGGGGATATGGTTTTGTTGGCTGGTAGACATTTGATATCCCTTTATTATCCATTAAAATTTCCCCAGAGCAGTTTATAAAACTTGCATTTTAGATAAGATACCTCTACTTTAACCCTTTTTATCCACTAAGCTTTTCTAAAAAGTTGTGTTGTAGAAAAAGCTACCGTATCCAGGACTTTAACGATTTCAACCATGATTTCTTCTTCGAGCTTTTGTAGCTGATTGCTGTATAATAAAGAATTAACAGTTTGCTTATTTTCAAGAAGTTCCCAGTAAATGACTCCTTTGAGATCCCACCAAACTGATAGAATAAACTTCTTTTGGTGGGGGTCAGGGAGCACATTCTTGGCAGCTATAACTCCAGGCCCTATCCGTTGACGCTTTCTTTGAAAGTTTGCGATAAGAAAATTTTAGAAGAATCGGCCAGGAGACGGCTGAGAAAACGAAGGTGAAATTAGGTTCGGGTTAGAATTTTCCCATGTCTAGACGACACGGGTTATGGTAGAACGCAAGGCTTCAGTTCATTCTTTTGAACAATGAAAACTTACTAAGTTGGGCTACTATTACAGCTATTACGGTATATGTGAAGTTGAAGATGTGTATCATAAAATCAAATGCATACACCCCTTTCAAATAAATATAACAGCTCACTCCAGGCGCTAATGCAACCAGAATGAACAGAAGCGTCATTTTGTTCGTTTCTACTTTGTCTTTCTTCTCTGTCTTTTTTGTATTTCTATAGGCAATCTATGCCCACAAATTTCTATTTTTTATACTTGACAGATTGGTGATTGTGAATATAAAGCAGACTTTGATAGATTTTAGACGCAAGGCTCTATTTTTTACACGCCACAGTAAAATTTTCTCATTGAGCACATAAAAAACTTTCATTAAGAGTAGAACAGTCTAATCTTCAAAAGTGAGATTTTACTTTCCTAAAAAGTTCCATAAAAGTTACAATTATCATACTTTTTCTTCTACTTTCAATCATAAACTCCACGTCATCATCTCAAAAACCGACTTTCGAAAGCCTCCAATTAAAAGTACATCAAAGGATCTAAAACAAGCAGTGAAGTCTGTAGAGAATCAAATTACCGGCAAATGGCCAAGAGTGAAAAGCCAAAGAATCAGGGGATAGTCAGTCATTCAAGTAAACAAAACCATTTCACCATGTTTTCCTTTCTAACATCGATCGGCGAGCCAACGATTTGGCGGAAATTTCACGATCTCATCATTGTTTTATGCATTTTGTTTGGGTTGCTGGGTAAATTTTCAAAATTTTCACCATAAATGGAAATTATTTTAAGGCCAATTCCTAAATTTTCAAATTGAACTTTTAGGCATCTACGCTCTACTCACTTTTATCTATCTTCAAGATTGGTCTTTTTTCGAAAATGCTCCAGATATTAGTGAAAATTTGGAGACAACTCTGGATACAATACTTGTAATAATGACGGATTGTGTAAGTTTTGACTGTAAGTTGTAGAATTTTTGAGAATTCTAGGTAACTTGCCTCAGTCTCATCACCACTTCACTTGCTGCTTACTTTGCCGCCGCAAATGATCGTTTAACGATTCCGATACGGTAACAATTTCAAAATAAATAGCTGGCCTTGTTTGAAAAAGATCTCGTGTCATAACCCGTACAAGAGGCACAATTCTTCTAGTACCAAGTAGTTAACGGTTAGTAGCAAATATTAAATCCAACAGCCCTGCCCAAATAGCCAGCTTTGCTCAACTCAGTCTCGTCTAAGCCCTACTCATCAGATCGAAGGTTCTAGGTTCACAAAGTATCAGGGTAGTCCCAGACTAGTAGTACTAGATCCAGTACTTCAGTTGGACACGACGGTCCTTTTATGGGTTGGGGCTGGGAATACAAAACATGATCAGCGCCGGAATTCGAACCCGGGATTTACCGGGCGAACGCCCTACCAATGAGCTACACGTATCCTACTGCCGCCAGGGTAAGGCCTTATGTCTTACTCTTCCAGTATACACCAACTTTACCCCATTTCACTTTCAGAATCCTGGCTTCCGCCGAGAATGTGAACAAATTTGTTTGGAGTGTTTGTTATCTGCTCACCTTTGCCTGTCGAACGGAAGGCGGCTTATTTCAGTGAGTGCCTATCTTATTTTTGTTTAACCTCAAGACTCAGATGTAGCCAAAATGTCAACTATACATTTTCCACAATTTATGGAATTGTCAAAACTTATGACCTCATTGATATCTCACAGTATTGTCAGCTGTTGATCTCGTTGAGGTAATCCAGTAAAGAAAATGGCTAAGAATTTGGAACCACAGGGGAATTGAACCCTCGACCTTATGCTTACCAGGCAGATGCTCTATCACTAAGCTAGCGGCGCCTTCTTTCCCCAAGAAGAAATAGGAAAGACAAGGAAGAGAAAAAAAGGAAGCAAGATAGAAGAATGCTTGCTTTCGATTTAAAAGCAAACCCTTTTTCTGTAGTGCACTTTCTCAAGCGATCCTTACAATACTCTAATTATTTTTAATACTCTAAACTAAAATACTATACAGGGTGTCCCAAAATTATGGAGCGGATCCTGTTTTGACAGATTTATTCTTTTTTCTTACTTCTGACTAAAATTCTTTTGTATTGGCTCTTTTCGAGATGAAATCACAATTGGATTGGCGACCAGCCATGGTGCGACTCTCACAGGATGGCAAGTCGGTAATGGAGATTTCACAGCTTTTGCACGTGCCTCACTAGACAGTTTTAAAAGCAATAAAGCGCCACAAATGGGAATTGGAAAAAAGATCGATTAGGACGTGGCCGAAAGATGATTGCCAACAATCCAATGAATCGTCGAAAGATCTTTCAAAGAATCCAAAGAAACCCGAGATCACAGAAAAACTCCACCCGAAAGATGGCTGCTGCAATTGGAATAAGCACTTCGGAAATATTAGGTTGAGGAAAAGTTCTGACTCAGCCTCGAAAAATTCAATTTTTAGGCATGAAGCATGTAATTCTAGTATAAAAAAATTCTAGAATGAGATTTATTAATCTAGAATGGGTTATACTTTGAGGAATAATTGTTGTTATTTTTGTTATTAAAGTGCGCATAAAAATCGAATCTTTCGCAGCTGAGTCAGGACTTTTTCCTCAACCTAGTAAGCACTGGGTATTTTCGCAGGACGAAGCTGCATCGCATAAAGCTCGAGAAACGCAAGATTGGATGGCAAAGAATTTCCCTGATTGGATCACAGTTGATATAAGCATAAATCCAAGAGAATGGCCATACAACTCGCCGGATTTGAATGTTTTGGATTACAGCATTTGGTTGCAGTTCAAGGGTTGTTGCAAGCCTCACACACCAATTCAGCCTTTGAAGAAGGATTTGGAAAAAGCTTGGGACGACATTGGTATGGAGGTCATCAAAAGGCCGATGACATTCCGAGACGATTACGAAAATGTATTCAGTCTAGGAGGACACTCGAAAAATAATGTTATATTTTTGTTATGTTCAATAATTGTTAAATGATTTTTAAGGTATCTATAAAAATTTCTTGAGAATTAACAAAAGATCAATGATCGAATTTCCGATCCCTAATTTTGGGACATCCTGTAAATTATTTTCTCAAGCCATTCTTACAATACTCTAAATTCTTTCTATAGTACCGTTACAGTGAAACATTCATACAGTAGCACTTTCTCAACTCATCCTTTTTCGTAAAATCACAAACAATACACTCACAAATGATTCTGATTCAAAGACTAACTTTTCCTAAAGTATTCTTGCCCCATACCGTACCTTTGCCTACAGTACTCATTTCCCTATAACCTCACACATCCCTATAACCTAAGCCTAAGCCTTCCCTCTTTTCAGCCGTTTCATGGTGCTCGCCTTTGACGGTGCCTATTTCCGTTACACTCTTAAATGGCCTCTTATCCAACTTCTATTCCCATACATACTAAATATTGGACTGACCCACTTACGCTTGTTATCTAATCAGTTATTCAACTACGATCCATTGTACGAATTTCAAACGTTCCCATATTTTCTGATGTGTGGCCTCGACTTTGTGACAAATAGGAATATGAACAAGGTGAGGAAATTTGAATTTCGAAAGCTTTTTGGTTTTAAAAATAAAATTTCAGCTCCGAAGACGCGGAAAAACGTCTAGAGGCGAGTCTCTGCTAATGCTTCAGGTTGATTGCTTCTATCTTTTTTACAAGCTTTCTTTTACAGATGATCATGAATTCTTTTCTAAATCTGACGAATACAATATTTTGGTATTTTTTTGCGATTATCTTGAATCTCTTCTTTGGTAATAATGTGATGTTCGTGTATAATTATGCAGTCGATTTCAATCAGGCGATGCTTTTCAATTTGGTCGCTAGGTTGGTAAATATGCCATATTTATTGCAACAAAGCTAACAAGTAGTTTAAGATTTGATATCTTTTAAAAAACTTGAGCAAGATTTAAGACCAGATTCAAGATTTCAAATCTAGTAACTAACCTAAACCTCATCTGGAAAAATCTTACTATCAGTTGGGGTAGATTGAGTGATAGTGAGCATGACAAATCCGTTTCGTCATGCAACTAGCTGTTTAAAGATAGGGATCAACTGTTTATCTGAAATACAACCAAATAAACAAAGCAGTCAAACAAAACTAGTATTCCAGTATCATTTGCATTCTATGTTTCCGAAAACCGAAAGAAACGCGGCCTCAAAATGGAGTGAAAGTAAATGTGACGGCTTCGTCGATTGCTGAACGGCTGAACGGATGAACCCGGCTCAAAATATCATTGAATCATTGACTGATAAAGAGTTTATTAACTTGTTTAACTTACAAATTCTTTTGGAAAAGTTTAATGTTTTGAAAATTTACGGAACTTTTACCAATTTTTAGTAGAATCGCAGTAAAAAACAACTTTTTTAACCAAAATTCAAAACTTCTTCATTCAAAAACAGCCGAATTCTAGAGTGTCACTCGATTTTTGACCTTTCATGAAGATTTTGTTGAAATTTCTATTGATATTGTTTACGAAACTTTTCCCGATTAACTAACTTTTCCCGACTTGATGAAATTTTCTACAAAAACTTGTTATTCCGCAACTTTTTGACTAAAGTTTCCGTCTTCAAAATTTGGAAAACCTCTGGAGATCAAATTCATCTCTGCTCTCTGAATTTATTCTAAAAACTTTGTATTTTTCAATCAGTTTTAGTCATAATTGAGTCCTATTTTGTCCAACTGACCAAAACCAAGCAAAATCACGCATTTCTTGGTCAATCTTTTGTTGTCAACTGATCTCCCAAAGGAATTGATGAGTTACACGCCCGTGATATAAGAAATCAGCACAAAAAGTTTCATCCAGCATACAGCCGGTATTTGAATTTGCTATTCACTCCAGCTTCACATAAATTTTCAGAAATTCTCATTTTTCACCACTTCACTTCAAGCCAACTTCAACTTTTTTCACTCGGCACTTTGGAATTTGTTATTCTGAAGTCAATTACTTCACACTTCAATTTAAATTTTCTTTTTTTCAATCATTTCTTTTGAATGCTCCTCTCCGTCAAAGAATTGAATGTATGGCGAAAATTTCACGAGCTTATTACTGTGCTTTTGATAATGTTTGGATTGATTGGTGAGCGAAGTTGTACTGTTCAAATGAATCCGGCTAAGCAGGAATTGTTAAGTACTTGATTGTTAAAATGCCCAAAATGTAATTTTCTCTCTGAGCCAGATACTGATTCCTTGACTCATGAAGAGTCAGAACTGAAAGATAACAGATATGACATGTCAAACTTTTTCACCTTACCATTAGTTTGGAACCGGATCCTAGGCAAGATTTGCGAGTTTGGATCCTTATTCTAAAGTCTATCCGGGTTAGCCCAGGTCAGACCAAAACATTTTAGACTAGCCTAACATATTAGGTTGGTGCATAAGTCTTTACAACCTTTTTCCAAACGTCTTTTAAAAATAATGCCGCCACTAACCAAATTTCCATTTGAACTATTGAAAAGGTTAATAGTTTCTTTGCAATTCTTGGAAATTCAAGAAAATTCTTGAAAGTAGTTGCTTTTATGGAATTTCAAAGGCGCAAGGCGAGCACCCAAAACTGCTTCGATGCTGAAGTCGAAATTTGGACACTTTCTTCAATACAAACCTATTTTGGTGCCATAGTGAAAAAGATAGAGCTCGTTTGATTACATAAGTCTGTAAAGTTTGAACACGTTCAGCGATTTGCTTTAAAACAGCAATTGAGAATTTTACATAAAAATGCGTTTTTACCGAGTCGAGGTGAGCTTTGAGCTTTCTCTCAAAAGCCATTTTGTAGAAACTTATGCACCAACCTAATAGATTGGAGCCGAGATTGTACGACTCAAGTACGTGAACAAGTTTTTACTCACTTGAATCCAGTCTATTCAGGAATCTATGCCCTTCTCCAGTTCATCAACGCTCAAAACTGGTGGATCATCTCGGATAGCGTTGCGGCAGATGTCAGTGATGCTTTGAAAGAAGATATCGATCGGATTCTGATCTTTATGACCGATTGTGTAAAAGCTAAATTCAAAGCTAATATGATTTTTCTCTAGACAGTTCTGCTCAGCCTTCTCACCACACCGTTAGCCGTCTTTTTTGCAGCAACCAACGATCGGCTGTCGTTTCCGATAAGGTAAATTAACAAAAATTAACATCTGTGGCATTTTGTTGAAAAATTCTAGCGATATCGATTTCCCATCAAGTTTGAACCATTCTAGACTCCTAGCATCCGCTGAAAACGCCAACAAATTCGTCTATGCCATTGGCTGGGCGCTCACTTACTCGTGTCGACCGAAAAGCGGACCGTTTCAGTAAGATTTCTGTACTTAACTTTCCTATTTCATTCAGATGCTCACAAAATCTCATCAAAACATTTGACACAATCCAATCAATTATCAACAAGTATAATCTGGTCGAGATCTCTCAGTGTTGCCAACTGCTCATCTCGATGAGGTGAGCTTATTACCGTAGTTGAACAGTTGAGGATCAAATGGGTACTGTAATCAGCAATAAGTCTACAATGGGAACATCACTGGTAAGCCCATACAGCAGTATACCCTGAGTTATACTACAGCTTTCGCTTAAGTTTTCTTTACCGCATTTCTTTTCTCACAGTACCCCTTTCCTTTACAGCCCAATTTTCAGTCGTTTCACCGCCTTGGCCTTCAATGGCCTCTATTTTCGCTATACTCTCAAATGGCCGATTGCTCAACTCCTTTTCCCATATATTTTGCATATTTTCCTCACCCATTTACAGTATCTTTCAATACAATTTCTTGGCGTCAATCCCATGGAGGATTTCATGACTTTTCCCTACTTTTTGATGTGTGGCCTCGATTTTGTGACGAATCGCAAAATGAAAAGGGTAAATCTTTTGGAAGTTTCTAAAAAAACAAGTTACTTTACTCAGAATTTTCAAATTCATTGCCGAAAAAGACAGTTTTTTGTTCACTTTTTGGAAAACTCTAGGCAGTTGCTTTTTCTCTTTGCAAATTCAACTCCCATGTGAGCAATCTGCAGTTCAAATCTCTAAAAATCATGCAAAGCAGTAATTTTTATTGTCTCTGTTCATGTGATTACAGTTTTTACATTCAATTGGAACAAAAGAGCTATAGACTTTGATATTTTTGAAAGCTTTGAAAGCTCTAGGATTATGACACGTGATTTGGCTTTGTCGTTATAGCAAACTTGGTGCAGTGTTTTGAGTTGGAAACAATAGTAAAAACAATAAGTTCTTGTTTATGAACAATTACTCATTCTGCTGTACTTGCTAGAATGCACATATAAGATAATATAGGAAAAGTGAGATGAACCGATTCTAAAATCTTTTTTGGATCAGTTCGGTCGAATTGTACAGTGCGTTGCAAAATGATAGGACCACCGTCGATTTTTGCGATTTTTGATTTTAAATAACTAAAAATGCAAAACGATGCTTAAATTCGAATTTTATATACAAAAATACGCACAAATACCGTTTGCCAAATAATTTACTTTAAAAGGCAAAATTTTTTAAGCTTTTCTTTATTTTAGACCTGTTGCAAAATGATAGGACCACTACGTTTCTTTTTGATTTTCTACCTGTAATAATCATGTTTGTGCTTACATTTCGCTAATTTTTATTTCTTAGGAAGGTGGGGCGTGGAAAATCGCTTTCGTGGATCGAGCAGATGAAAATTTTGATTTTGAAAGGAAGAAATCGGAAGATCGCAAAAAAATGAAGCGCTCGCACCAAGTTGTCTTAAATTTCTTGAAGAATTCTTTCAAGTATGGCAAGAAAAAGTCTCCGAGACGTCATCGAAAGCTCACGGCACATGGGACGTCTGTTGTCGAATTCGGTGATGTCGCTACAGGATGTCAAGGTACAAATCGGAGCTCCCGTCCACAAAAGCACTCTTTCTCGAGCCACCAAGTGTTACATCCGTTACATCAAAAGAGCAGTCGTGAAGAAAGCACTAAAGCTGAAGCCGGCTCACAAAGAAAAAAGGATGCCTTCCTCGGGATCACATCACATTGGAAAAAAGTAAACTTTTTTCCTTGAGTTGTTAACTATTTTTTCTTGGTATCTTCTTCATCTTCAGCGATGAGAAAAAATTTAATTTGGATGGTCCCGACGGCAACAAGTACTATTGACACGATTTCAGAAAAGATCCATTGCTTTGTGGGCGTCGAAACTTCGGAGAAGGATCACTGATGATATGGGGCACCTTCAATGTGGATGACGTTCTTGATTTAGAATTTGTGACTTGTCGCATGAACTCGAACGATTACCAGGACGTCCTTGCGGATCAACTACTTCCTTTCCTAGCGCAAAATCGAGATAAATACTATATTTTTCAACAGGATAATGCTTCAATTCATGTCAGCCAATCCACTAAAGCTTTTCTAGAACGTCACAACATCGATTTTCTCGAATGGCCTGCCTGCTCACCGGAATTAAACCCAATGGAAAACTTATCAGGGCATCTTCGTGAGGAATATTTATGCTAATGAAAAGACTTACGACACGATTTCGCAACTCAAAAAAGCAATTTTGCAAGCTTGGACGTCAATTCCACCACAAACGCTTCAACTTAGTGAACTCGGTGAGTAGGTAAAAATTTTTGCAACAGGTGTTAAATAAAGAAATTGTTATAATTTTGTTGCAATTTGTTTAAATAACGTTAAAAATGGTATAGATGCCTATTTTTGCATATATTTCTAGGATTTAAAAGCTATTTCGCGTTATTAAATTCCATAACCAAAAAAATGTGAAATTTAGGAGTGGTCCTATCATTTTGCAACGCACCTTACTAAACATAGCAGGTAAACTTTAGGGCCTAAAGTGTAGAGACAGATTTCTATTAGTCTACAGGGTGCGCCAAAATTATGGTAACGCGCCCGAATTATCTCATTTTTTCATTTTTTTACGTCTTTGTCTTTTTTTCTGCAATACTTAATTCTACAACTATTTTTCAAGTATGAAATCCAAAAAGGATCTACGCCCGGCTATCATTCGTTTGCATCGGCAAGGCAAACGAACTGCTGAAATTTTGCAACTTTTGCAAGAGAAGAAAGAGAATGTTTTCCGAGCTATAAAACGCTTCAACAAAACGGTGACGAATGAAGACCGCAAAGGAAGAGGATGCCCATCTACAGCCAACACTCTGACAAATCGAAAAAAGATCTTCACAAGACTCAAGAGGAATGCAACCACCACAAAGAACTCGACTCGGAAAAAGTAAAAGTCGACAAAAAGGTGTACTTGGAGATGCTCAAGGATGAAATTTTGCCCTGGTCTCGGGCTCATTTTGTAACTAAAAGCTGGACATTTATGCAAGATGGAGCTCCTTCTCATAAAGCTACCGAAACACAAGACTGGATAGCCAACAACTTTCCTGATTGGATCACAGTGGATATCAGCTCACGGCGCCCAGGAGAATGGCCTTCAAATTCTCTAGATTTGAACGTTTTGGACTATTCCATTTGGTCGATCTTAGAGAGCAAGACATGTACAAAGTCCCACACATCGGTAGACTCTTTGGAACGGGCACTAACTAAGGCTTGAAACAATTTGTCCATCACCACAATTCAAAAGTTTATCGATGAATTTCCAAAGCGTTTGAACCAATGTATTGCTGCTAATAGTGGTCATTTTGAGCAATAATCGTTGTTTACATAATGTTTTCGTTAAAGTTAATAAAAACTATTGTTTTCTAAAAGTTCTTACTGAGAAAGATTTGTGTTTTCCGCAGTTACTATTTCGTTACCATAATTATGGCGCACCCTGTATTGTTAGACATACTGTAATCTTACTGTGGTCTCAAAGACAAAGACGTGAAATTAGTCTAACAAACTAGCAAATATCCATTGACAAAAGTCACCCATTGCTTAGTTTCAGCTGAATCAGCACGGGAAAACGTCACGAGTTGAGACTTTGCTAATGATCCAGGTATCAGTTTTCCGATTTTCTTTTACAAAATTCTTTTAGATGCTCACTAATTCTATCCTCAACCTCACAAATACGATCATTTTTTATCTAGTCGCCATCTTTTTAAACCTTTTCCTTGGCGATAATTTTATGGTCATCTTCTACAATTCGATCGATTTCAATCAAGCTTTGTTGTTTAATCTGTTTTCCAGGCACAGTACAGGAGTTAAATTCATAACATTATATGAAGTTTTAGTATAATAAGTATACTATGTTTCCGAAAGCCGAAAAACATCGTGATATCAAGTGGATTGAAGGCTGGTACGGTCACTGTGTCGAAGGGATTGTTTTGATTTTACTTGATTCAAAAATGATTTGAACAAATCGAAATCATAAATTCATTGCATTAACTTGTTGAATAGCTTGTTGAAACAGAAAAGCCGAACATCTGCTAATTTCAATCGAAACATGAATCGGAGAAAATTTTGTCTACAAATTTGCTGGTGAAAGAAAATAGCAATATTGTTATAAAGAGCTTTATTCAATACACGAGAAATCTAGTGGTAGTGGTTAGAAATATGAAAAGTTGCTTATCTATGGAAAATCTTCGTTAGCTGCGAGAGAAAGACATAGACACAAAATAAAGAAATTCAGATCTAAAAGCCGCTAATGTCGGCTGTTTGAAAATGGCGAGAAAATACCGCATAGCAGAAAGGATTGAAAATTTGGTATCAGTACGGTAAACCGATGGTTGAAGACCTCATGGCTTGACGAAAGTGCCACATCCACTGGAGGTGCTTGGAGGAAGCTGAAGGGGAAGAGAAGTCGGAGTCACAGGGCGGTCTGTGGTGCCGGCAAATTCTTCGATCGCGTTGATCACGAGGGCTTCCATCAAGGCTTGTTGATCAGCTGTCATTTCCAGACCGGGTTATCGGATCCGGCTTCCAGATTATAAGTATATACGGATTTATTCAACCAATCCAAGCAATCAATCATAATACAGAAAAAAAATCCTATTGAAACCCTAACCTAAACTACTTAATGCCATAACAGGACTTCAAATGCTTAACTTAAGTATAATTCTTGAAGTCAATGATCATTATTTTGTGAAGTGATGAAGTGTGAAGTGATGAATGAAAGGAAATAAAGCGTTTTTAAGGGTTGCATTTTATGTGCAAGCCAAGCGTAGTTTAATTTCAACGGGCACGGTGTGTTACATTGCTCTGCGCTTGGGATAGCTCCGAATCTGCGACTAACCGAGCCCAACGTTGCTTAACTTGGCAGAACGGACGGGATGCCGTGTTTCAACGTGGCGAGAACGTAATTCAAATAACATTTTACATCTGCAATTTACAAAATACAAGCGAAAGCTCTGTTTTCCATTTTGCGCTGCTTTCTGTTTCTATTTTGCAACCAAGCACACAAATTACTGCTGTGCGATATTTGCCTCTGAGTCCGAAATTGCTTCCTTAGCAATAGAATCCTTTGCTAGACATGGATAGTAGCGAATAGGAACATTAAGTTTTATTGTAAAATTTTGTTGTTTATTGTTAATTTACTTGCTAGTTTGTTGTTTTGTTAACGTGAAATTTCCTTTTTGAATTTATAAACAGTTGAATCAACTCAACACTAATCAATTTGAGTTCTGAACGAGAAACTAGAGTTTTTTAGCAGTTCTAAGCTGCGCTAAGGCATTTTCGCTCGGTCCAACGCTCGATCGGGCTAGTCCAATTCGATCCGATCTGATCCAAAAAACCATGTCTAAGACACAATATTGCGATTTTCAAATTCGTTCTCATCGACCATGTCGTCCATAGACCGTACGCTAATAAAAGACCGAAACGAAAACGAAAACATTTTAAGCAAAACCAGCAGAAACTCTCGAAACGTGTTCATTTGACCGATTTCGAGAGGTGAGAACCGAACAAATTTGATCGCATTTTTTCGGGAATTGACAAAAATCAAAAATCGGGTGCTCCACGTTCGTGTTCCTCTTTCTCTCTCATTTTTGAACATCTCGAAAAGTAAATCGGTTGAGCCTTGATGCTCTTTTTCGGATCTTGTACATCTTGTACGCATCTCATTTGGACGATTTTAGGTCTGCGAGGCAATGTCTTTAAGAAGAATGAAAGTTTTACACTTTTTAACGAAAAATTTCTTTTCAAAAACTGGCAGAACGCATCAAAAGTAGTTTTTTCTTGCAAACTGTTCAGTGAGGGTAAACAATTCTCATTTTGCGACGATTTTTGAGAGTTGATGTGTTTTTTTCACCAACTCTTTTCTCGTTTTTCTTTTTCCCGATTTTCAATTTCCTTTCCTCTCAAAGTCCGCCGCTATTAGGCCACGCACTATTGGATTATTTCAACCGAGTTTTCCCATTTTCCAAATCATTTTTTGAAAACCTTTACCCTTTAACTACAATGCCCCACTACAAATTAACATATTTCTGCGTTCGAGGCAAAGGTTTCTAGCGTATTTTAAAACATATCCATATAATTACTCACAGGTGAATTCATTCGACAGCTCTTTGCATTAGCCGGGGTCGAGTTCGAGGATGATCGCTTCTCGCTTGGGCCAACCGGTCGTGGTGAAGGAATCGCACAGACGAATTGGGCTGAAGTGAAGAAAAGTATGGCAAAAAAGTTCTTTTCATTAAAACAAACAACAACCATTGAAATGCTAAAAAGCTTCTCGAAACTTTTTGAAAAGTTCGCCCCCCACGATTGAACTTTACGGTCCCGGATTAAAATGATCTAATTTCTTAAAATATTACATTCTTATTCTTACATATTCTTACATATGTGATAATAATTTTTTAGCCCCAGCGATACTCCACAAGCACCCTTAGGCTAAGCACAAAAAACACAAAAATAATGAGGAGAAAAATTTTTAATTAAAAAATCTGACTTTTTCTTTTGACCTTTTGCACCGTAAGGTTCAATTTAGCCCGTTAAATTATGAATTATCGCGAAACTATTCAGCTACACCATATGGGCAACTGCCAGTGCTGGATGTGGATGGAAAGCAACTCGGAGAGGCCAATGCTATTGCCAAATATGTGGCCGCTGAGTATGGTGAGTGTTGAAACATAACAAGAAAAAGTTTTACTATTATTTTACCATGTACTCTTTAGTATCTAAAGTATACCAAGTGTAGTGTACTAGGTCACAAATCGAAGCTGCTAATAAATTTAGCTGTTATTTGAATATAGTTGTACTTATTAAGTTAAAAACTAACCACAAATGATCATAACAATCTTTCATACTTACTTAAGTTTTAAAAACAACCCCACTGGGCAATTTCTCAGGTTTCAACGGTGCAAATGCTTGGGAGGCGGCACAGATCGACTCGGTTGGCATTCATTACGACGATCTCTTCAAAGCTTGTGTTCCTTTCTACCTGTCTTGGCACAGGATCAGCAAACAAACAATGGTGAATCCAGCTTCAAGTGATACCTTAAAAATAGTCGGCTTTCAGGAGGATGCCTATAAGAGCTCCGTCGAGGCGGGTAGAGATGCGTTCTTCCAACCAATCTGCAAGCTCCTTCGAGAGAACAAATCGGGATTTATTGTAAGTGAATAAATAAGGTTGCGAATGTTTTTTTGCTCTTTTATTACGGTGCTAACACCACTTGTAAGTACGGTCATAAAAGTAATGTTACTTATATTAGATTGACTACTAATTCTTGATGAAACTGTTTGTTTTTTGTTTCATCAAAGAACAAACCGTGGCTTTTTATAAAATTTTAATATCAATCAGACACGCATTGCCTAGCTTTGGGAAAAGTTTCATCCCAATCTAATGGCTGGGCTTCATGCCGGAGGCTTTTGTTTGAAACTAGTCGATTCTCACGTCGCACAACAAGAATTTTTATTTTTGCCATTTCTCAAAGATTGAACAATGTGTTTTTATGAAACTTTTGAATCATTATTACTATTTGATTGTCTATTAGGCAGCAAGTTTTTATTCTGTTTTGATGAATGAAAGTTGAGCTAAGAACAAAAGAGCGAAAAAGTGACGTGCAAAATTGACTTTCTAGAAAATCTTTCAGAGAAGAATCCAATTCAGAAACTTTTTACTAGTATGCTTTATCAACACCTAGATATGTGATTTGGCGTCAAATCCGTCAACATTTCCACATGAAATTTTAGACATTGCAAAATTTACTTTTTTTCAGTTTCGAGCAACCTTTTGATACTTTGAATCGCTGTCAAAGTCTCTCTAGGAACTACTTGATATTTATATATGTTTTTATTCAAGTTGTATTTTTCAAAGTACCTAGTTCACATTGCCAACTTTTGACTGATGCGGCTGCAGATGCTTATTGACCTTGGGTCTTTTCATGTATTTGAGTATTTTTTTCTCAATTTTCTTTTCTGCTTAACACTTTTGCTTAGACCTTCCTTAATTTTTTTTTTCAGGTTGTTTTACATCGATAAAAAATCGAGACTTTCGCCTTCTCTCCCTGTATGAGTTCAAGCTTGGCCACAATGAAGCGACCCAAAACATCAATCAAACTTTTGGGGAAGGCAAAGCTGAAATTCGAGCATTTCAGCGCTGGCTCAAATGATTCCGGGAAGGCGACGAGGATCTTAATGACAAGGAAGACCGCGGACGCCATGTCAGTCTCGACAATGACGAATTAAAGGAGCTAATAGAAGCGGATCCCAGAACAACTGAGGCAGAATTAGCAAGACACTTTGGGGTCACTCTACACACAATTGGGAACCACCTCAAGGAAATCGGAAAAGTGAAAAAGTTGAAAAAGTGGGTGGCTCATGAACGAATATCAAAAATTGCATTGTTATCTCATATCGTATTCATTGCTGATTCGTCATCAAAAGGAGCCATTTCTGGATGAAATTGTAACTTGTGATGAAGAATGGGTCCTCTACGATAACCGAAAACAAAAATCCAAATGGTTAGACAAAGGACCATCACCGAACCTCTTTCCGAAGCCCGACCTACACCCAAAGAAGCTTCTTCTCAGTGTTTGGTGGTCGCAGAAAGGTCTGATCCATTATTCAACTCTACAAAACGGAAAAACGATGAATTCTGATCAGTATATTCACGAAATAAACGTAATGTATGAAAAACTTCGAAGGATCGATCCAGCTCTCGTGAATCGGAAGGGTCCCATCCTACTGCAAGACAACGCCCGTACGAGAAAATACTCTTCGCGTTGAGCGTTTCAATCTCGAGCATCCTTTTCGAATGCTTGCTTTGTATGAAATTCTTGTCAGTGTTTATCGGAGTTCAAGTTCCAATTCTAAAAAAATCAAACTTTGAAAAGAATAAGAAAATGCTTGTAAGTCAATAAAAGAAGTTGTAACAATGGTCAAAAGGTTAGTCACAATCACAGTCTTTTAGTCAGTACCAAAGAACTAGTCACAATCTCATAAAAACATCCTATTTAGCTACCAGTATGCTTTTAAACAAAAAAAGCCAAAATGAACAACAACAGAGCAAATTTTAGCAGGGTGCACTATTATTTTTCAACCCCCTCCTGCCTGCACTACTATTACAGACTGTAGTACTATTACAGAAAATACGATATCATATAAAAATCCATAAAAAGCTATGGTTTCCTCTTTTATGCAACAAAAAACAAAAAGTGTTATCAAGAATTAGTACCCAACCTAATAAATTATCGAATTCAGATCGGAGACAAGGTCACTTGGGTCGATCTTTTGGTGGCCGATCACTGTGAGACGTTCACCAAGTACAACGAGAACTATCTTGAGAAATATCCGGAGGTTTTTTCCGTCAGTTTATGTTGCTAAGTAAACTTTCAGGCAAAAGCTCACATGGAGAAGATCCACTCGATTCCGGCTATCAGGAAATGGATCGAAACTCGCCCAGAGACTGAAATCTAAACGTCTTTTCTCATGAGCTCCGTTTCACATACAATAAACATTCAATAAGAATCTCGACATGAGATTTTTGGAAATTCGTAATGATTTTCGGAGGGTTTAGAGCAACGCTTTTAAGATTTATTATTTGAGAGGCATATATTCTAGGGTACTGTCATGGGGTGGCAAAGAATCGAACTCCAATTTCACTAAACTAAACGGCATCCGATCAAGTTCTTTCGTTGATTTGGGAGAAATTGAAGTCAACGTCGAAACAGGGAATCCACTCGAAGTTTTGATAGTTTCTCGGATGATCCATCAAAATTAGACTTTTCTTTAGCTTCGAAAAGAGAAACCAATTAAAGATCTTGTCGATAAAGGTTTTCAGCAAGGTAACCACAAGTTTTTATACAAAAACTTCGAAAAGCAACTTTTCTGAAAAATTTTGACATTTTAGCGGGAAACTCTGCTCAAAAAACGCCAAATTTGATAACATTCGATACAAATTGCACTCGCGCTTAGCATCTTCAACAAGATAAGCACTAAATTCTAAACAAATTCTTCCAAAATTAAAAAATGAGAATTAGCCGATTTTCTTTTATTTATCTTTCATTGAAAGAAATTTGCATTTACCAATGCTAAATATTTTCCAGATAAACGGCTAATTTTAAACGCAAATTAAAATTTGCCAAAGAAGAGCCTTTTTTCTTTCGCGTTCTTTCACGCCAAAATATTTTAAGTGCACAAAAATTATTCAGAATCTCTTATCGCCCAAATTCCAGATCATCTGCGAGCGTCTTGCGCCTAGGGCGAGTCCGCGCGCGTCGACGAAGCTCCATTGTGTCAAGTAAGGGAAATCTCGAAAAATATCGCTCCAATTCACAAAATCCTAAAGAAACCCTAAATCCTAGGTCCACTAGGGAGTACTGTAGCGCCAGTCTCGTCTCTGCCTACGTTAGCTTTTCTGAAATTTTGTCAAAGGCAAAGTGTATGGCAGAAAGGGGCCCAGGTGTGGTATCTGACGGGTTCAGGGACTTTTGCTCAGGTAAAGCTAAAACTAAGACCCGACTTCGGTACCATTTTGGCAATGTTTACGATAAATCGTCGAAAAATCGGACTCTCTTGCCCATTAGTGCATAAAAATAATTATCAAATAAAATTTTATTACAGTACATCCATTCTGCAATTGTTTGCATCCATTAAAAATTTTTGTGACTCTTGACCGGCTCTGGCCTGGGCTGGTCTAAAAGCAGTATACAGCCCCTGGGCCACGGTTCCTAACAACCTCCGACCTCAATAGCCAAATCTGTCCCTTATTGGAGCCAAATCCGGTAGTTTATGGGAAACAAATTGGTACCGTATTCGAACAAAAATGGTACCTTATTGAAAACAAATCGCCACTTTATTGGGACCAACGGGTACCGTGTTTCAACTAAATCGGTACCCTTTTTGCGACCAAATTGAAACATTATTGGAACCAAACCGTCACCGTATTGGAACTAAATTGGTACTTTATTGGAAACAAGTCAGTACCGTATTGGAACCTAATTGGTACCTGATTGGAACCAATCGGTTTTTTATTGGAACCAAATTCGTACTGATTGGAAACGAATCGGTACTTTATTGGAACGAAAGTGGTGCCCTATCGGAATCAAATCGGTACCATATTCGGACCCGACAAATTGGAATTTTATTAGAACCAAACTGTTACCGTAGGAACTAAATGGGTACTTCATTGTAACCAAACCGGTACCTTATTGGAGTCTATTCGGTACCCGGTTGGAACCTAACTGTAACCGTATTGGAATTAAATCGGCACCTTAGTGGACCCAATTGGTACCGTATGCGAAACAAATTGGTGTCTTATTGAAACCAAGTCCGTACCAGATTGGAACCAAATGGGTACCGTAATCGATCTAAATTAGTACCTTCTTTGAACCGGATCGGAACCAAATTGCGACCGGATTGGAACCAAATTGGTACTGGATTGGAACTAAATTGGTACCTTATTGGAAAGGAATTGGTACTTTATTGGTACCCTAGTTAAGCCAATAGGTACCGTATTCAAACCAAATCGGTGCCTCATTGGATCGGCAATCAGCACTTTATTGGAATCGAATCGGTATCCCTATTGGAACTAAATGAACTGTAATTAAATATCTACCACAGTAATTCTGGTGAATGGATTGGGAAGATTCACAGTGATCACTGTGATCACATCTACTAGTTTTTGAGAAAGGGATGACAAATTGAGGAATTCAGAGAGGGAACACTTGAAACTATATGCTATGTATAAATAGCAGGCACTTGCTGCAAGGAAAGTAAAAATATCAGTTATATAAATGAAATGCATTAAATTGGCTTAATAAGGTATAAATAAATGTTATGACAATTTTTCCAGAATATTTTCGGAGCTGCTTTCGGCGGTGGTTTTTGTTAGCTTGCCTATTTTTTCGCTTCTCAATTTTTACATTTCTTCCATTATTGCTTACGTACAATAACGATTTTTAGGGCCATCACATGTTCTTTTATGTCGGGCCGCTCCTTCCCATCGTCGATCACCTCGTGGGTTTCTCACTGCTCTTCATCGATTAGTGGGTCAGCCGGGCATTGCACGTAAGCGTTAAACTTAATTAGGAAGAAGTAGGGGTAGATCTGCGTTGCTTTGTGGCTGTTGGAAATAGGATCTGTTAGAAATAGGCTTGTGGTTTCCAGAAGTGGTGTTAAGCTTGATTTTGTGCTCTTAGAAGTGGCAAAACCATATGGGACTGAAGGTATTAGCTATTTTAAGCAGTATCAGACCTGTAAACCTCTCAAGAGTTCAAATTATCACAAAACAAAGAGAGTTTTGACAAAGATTGCTCAAAACTATTGCATTATTCGCCTCTTTAAAATTATTTCCAGGTTTAGTCACACTACCGCGAATCTACCTTCTGCATTTGTATCGGTTTGCCGTTTCATGGATTATCATTTGTGTCCGGAATGGTAGGCATTTTAACATTTCTTAATCTTTTTAAAATTTTCAATTCCATTGTTGACGCTTGATTTTTATCCGCTTGAGCATAGAAATGAAGAAAGGGTAAAATTCAAGTTCGCTTGAACGCCAACATGCGCGCTCTCGGTGTACGGCAGCATGTCATTTTGACATATTCTATTGAAAAAAAGCATTTTCTATTGAAATCGAAAATTTTAGAAAGATTAAGAAATACTGGCCGAAATTTTCTACGGTCTCCCAGCCCAACAATTGCGTTATAGGTTACGGTTTCTCGCATAAAAGCACACTTATCTCCGGAAGTTAGTCGGTCTTTTCGTGGTCTTTTTCATATTACTACATTACATTTGTACTAGCCAGACGTTTTCGCCTTATTGTTTTCACCCTCCGTTTTTGGATTTCTTTTGGCCGTAAGATCATAGATTCTTTTTGGCTCTCTCACTATATCTTTTTCGCATTTTGGATTTATAGATATTGATCAATTAATTTATCGCATTCCGATCTCTCGAAATTACTGCTAATGCGAACTTCTGTTCCTTCAAGGATCTAGATTCTTTTGAGCCACACCGGAATATTTGGAGATAGTCTATCTAAAAAACATTTTTGCTTTTCAAACTATCCGTTCCAATCGAACAAACGGACATACCAGGTACAATCATTTCACAGAAGTCAGATCACGATTTCTGACATGATCATTGCAGGTAGTTTACAGTTTTACATTCAAAATTGATTATTTTTAAGACTGTTGGACACGACTGAAGTTTGGCAGGACGCTCTCCTCATCAATTTGTCCATCGACTTTGAAAGATGTGGCACAGCTAGGAGATATGGCCTTAAAACTCAAAAACATGGGAGAGCTATAAACTGGGTTTCTATTGCCTTGATCATGTAATCCGTCTACGCATACCCGAGAATCGAGCCGAAATTGCTTGTTTAGGTACGCCCAAATCCGAAAATCACTTCCGAAGACGAGAATTCTCCAGTGATGGGGACGAGGAAAGCGATGAGGATGGATCTCAATATATTAGTTTGGTTTGCATCACAAGATGGCTCATTTACATTGTGAAAAACTTTTTTTTTCAGTTTTCAAGTTTTCAATGCCGAAAAGCCGAAAATTTTCCAATCCATTCAAAGACTTCCTTCGTTAGCAACATTCTTCACGTGACCTTTTTTTGATTATTCGCTTTGATTTTTCCTTATGGTTTCCTGTAATCAGAATACTTATTACCTAGTTCTTACATCTAGACATAAATCTTGATTAGTTATCGCATCACTCGCCGGTTTTACATTTTCTTTTAGTTTGAATGGGACCCAAAATCATGTTTCCATGATGTTGATACACGTCTCAAGGTCAATTGCCACTATATATTGAGCTCACCTATAACGGTGAGAAGCACCGCTTCATCCACGGCAACGTGGAGTCCTCCACAGCGGCGTGGAGGGCGTGCAGCTGATCGCTAATTTCCAAAGGCGCAGATTGGGACGTATACCAAAACGGTCAGATGCTCACATACTTATCCAGGAGTAAAGTTACAAGTGGGGGATTTCTCTTTTATAAATTAATTGATTGGATTATTTTTAGAAACAGACACGACCTCGCTGCTGGCGTGATGTGGCCATAATGGATGTTTACATTGAATTTGCTGGTATTGGTGCACTTACGGCTGCAGGTGGATTCGAAGCCGACCTTCGTGCTCAAAACTTCGTGGATGTTTCATAAGGTTCCGTTTAATATTTTAAAATAGGTTTCTTAATTCAATTAAAAGCTATTTCTTAACTCCGAGACTATTTAAAATTCAAATCTATTTGCAATAATCACTCATAGTCTATGTAGGATGGACCTTTTACGGGGGAGTCATTAACATTGATCATATGAAGATTCATTTCCCTCAGTCTTTGATAGGCCCAAAATCTGTAGTAATTGTGTCTTCGATTTTGATTTTGAGACTTCAAGCTTCATTGATTTCTTTCAGGACAAGCTGCCCGAGACCATGGCAACAATTACTGATTTGACATGTCAATCTTATGTTAAAAATTTCTGTCCGTTCTTTTTCCTGATAAATGTTTTCTATTTTATACTTGGCATACCAATCCGTTGTTGATGTAATAGTGTAATAGGTGTTACGTGTGATAGTTCTACAAACATTCCCAAAACAGTTAAAAGCACTTGCAAAATCTGTTTATATTTCTTTGTAAGAATTTGATCGATAACGTAAAGTTAACATTAAAGAACATTGAATCTAGCGTTTTTAAGAACATTTTAGACCGGAAACATTCTTTGGTTTCAGTTACCTTATTATCTTATTCTTTTTTCTTAAATCTTAATCTTATTACCCGTGTCATGTTATTGTTTTATTTGCAGGGGATGGATGCTAACAATCCCTCAACATCATAGTCGTCATACATTCCTTAGGATGCCTTGTCAGAAATTTTCGTTGTTAGCCTAATCTTCCTTTAGTCAGTGATGTATCTTTATGCTGTGTGCCTGTATTGTGCTGGCAGATGCTTGAATATAAACAACAGGCAAGTTTTACGGGCTTTCTTTCTTTTACAAGTGTCTTTAGGTTGTATTCTACATTTTGCGTCTTTGAAGGGATTACCATCTTGGCTTTCCTGGTCTTTTATGGGAACCATCCTGACTCCGGTGGCTAAATTCCAGACAAATTCAGGGTTTGTAGCTAATATGCCTTTTTAGTCCACATGTTTTGAGGCAGATACGAAAACGGATGGAGATCCCAAAGCTAACAATCTGTTCAATAGGAAACGCTATTTGCCTGATCAATCCCACTCAAGATATGGTTTTGGTTTTGTGCACTGTAAAAACTTAGAACCTGCTTTCAGATGATGCAACAAATGGACACTCCTTTGTACATTTTTGCAGCGAGCGCAACTGTTACACGATGGAACGTGATCATTTTGGGGACAGGATTCGGTAAGTGGTTTAATTGTGAAGCTAATTTAATCTTTTTTGCTCAATCAATTTCAAATTTAGTTATTGCTACGAGTGCCGCTTTGTGAAGCCGGACAGAATCCACTGCAGCTCTTGTGGATTCTGTGTGTTGAAGAGTGCAACCATTACTATTCTTGATTAATCATGTTAAAAGTAAACTTTTTAGCTTGATCCACCATTGCCCATGGATCAACAATTGTATTCCACTATAGCCTTCTAAGTCTTTCCTTCTTCCCCTCTCCTATAGCATGACTTTCCTTTGCTGGTTGGTGGCTGTTTTTAGATTTTGACTTTTTTAAAATAAACTATTTGCGTTTAGGACAACTGTCACTTCGCTCGAAGTCTTTGTTCGATACTTTGTGAAAGCACATTGGGTTGATGATTTGGTTGCCCTTTTCCATGATTCCAGTAGGGATTCTTGGATGCATTTGCTTTATGTAAGGATTGTTTATAAAACTTTTAAAAAGATTTCAACAGTTGAGTATAATTCTTTTATTTCCAGTACTGGACAATGAAATATCATATTTGGAAAAACGATCGCTCATTTCGCGCGTCTGTGACTCCATTGTCTTTGAGTTTAAACTATTAGTGTTATACCATTTCTGAAAGCTCTTTTCAAGGGCTACACAATGGTAATAATATATTTAGAAATATGGTAAAGACAAGGGAGTTACGGAACGCGCCATCGTTTCAAATATCGTAACCCTCATTGTCCGTTTACCAGCCCTTGGGAGGCTGTTCAATTATCACCGCTTGGTTTGGTCGTGCTCAATGTGAAACGACGTGTGAACAGGCAAAAGATCCCAAGAAATGAGTGAATTTTATTTTCTTATTCTTATCCTGATTTTGTTTAAGTGGCGATACACGAGCCGATTACAACATTGGCACCTTGGAGAATTTGCGGCAGGTTTCTACCATTGTTCAGAATCGTTCAATCCTCAAATTTTCGGTCTTCGGATGGGGTTTTGGTTTTTCCCACGTTGAAAACTCAAGTCATTGATGGGCTTCACTACAATAAAGTGAGTTTAGGTTTAAAAGAGATTGGTCATCTATCTTGAAATTTGTAATACTTTCAGTTACCGTCACAAGCTAATGCCCTACGCGGTCTTTGTGAGTCCCAAGCCAAAGAGAGCCTCAGCCAGCTCCATCGAGCCGGTCAATCGCCTCCGATCACCACTCATTCAGTGAGGATCAATCTCTCTTTCTCCAACTTTCTCACCTTCCTATTGTATTTTCTCAAGTCCATCTCTTTTGACGGCAATTTTCAGCCAAAATCTAATCCCTTATCCATCAAAAACCGCAATCCCTATTTGAGCTTGGGGATCGATGCCCCAGACCCATGTTTCTGTCGAGAGAGAAGAAAAGTCAGCAAAAATCCCTCTTCTCCATTTTCTCATATCCAGTTCTTACGGATCAAGCTCTAAATGTCTACGCCACACTACCCCAGGATGTTTTGCAAACGCACAACCATATACTTATCTTGAGTGCATTGGAAAATGCGTTGAGAACCACCGCTACCGACAACAAAAGCGGCTGAGGTTGGAGAACATCCAATGGAAGAACACGGATTTTTCCACAAAAAATTCATTGGGGAATATCCGTACCCTGATCGAAGGATCATCAGCCACCAACGAAATAGATCGAGAGACCTTCAAAGGAAGTGAAAAGACATCTCCCATGGGGGCTGAGAAAGCATGCTTAGCGAGAGCCGGTTCACAAACCCTCGACGAACTATTACTCATCATTGAGAGAGGCTAGGGTATCAGTGACGAGACGATGAGCACGACGTCAGCCTCGTCGAGGAGATGGAAAAGACTCAAGGAACAATTGAGGATCTTAGTGAAAAGGTAAAAAACAACTTGGTCGTCTCTCAGGAAAGAGCTCAAGAAAGATTCGAGAGAAGAAAATTTAGAAGATCTGAGGGAAGAGACTGTTCGGAAACAACAAAGGTTTGGCCGTGGTGGTGGTCAATGGAGAGGAAAAGACTGGAGTGGTTATAGAAGTTACAACAATTGGAATAACGGAAGAGACTGGAACCAAGGCCGAGGGAAATGGCCGTGGTAGAGGACACGGAGTTCCAATGGTGGAAACGCAAACTGGAGAAATAATTCTCAACCAGTTTATGCACTTGAAGATCAAATTTTGCAGTTGAAGTTGATGGAAATTGAGGAGAGAATCTCATGAAAGTCTTGAAGATCGCCAGGCACTTTACTTTTGATTGATGCAGCCTTGAGCTTCCCTCTCCAATGTTTTGCCATGTTCGGATCCTCTTCTTCTGAATCCCATCTTCCGTCGCCAACATCACCTTCCTAAAACATGGAAGGTAATAGATTTTAAACAAGAAAAAATGGCTACTTTTTCTATCTTCCTTCTTTTATTCACCCCGGTGAAGAAGGTAGCGATAATTTGAAAATTTAAATCAGTAAACATTTATCCAATCTTATCTATAGAGAAATCGGAGAGAAAAGGCACTATGAGAAACGAATATACTGACAAAACACCCAATCTTTGCAATTGTTCTATCGGAATCGAATTGTGTGCAATCAAGCAACCCTGATGTCCATATAGGAAATGTGTTGAGTCTATAAAAATCTGTGTTTGACCAAAATAAAAAAATTCGAGGTATAATAGAAAAAAACCAACCGTTGCACCACTGACGGTGAGGCGAGTCAACTCGGTGAAATCACTTGCCCCGGCGGTCCTAAAATACATACAGATTCAACCACTCGTTAAAAGAATCAGACTCCGTTTGTCGAAAAGATTCTTATTTTTTTTTTTCTCGCCACGTTTGAGATGGATGGTGTTAGGGATGATGCTCCAGGTCCGTGCTTGGTTTCCCGCTCATCTTCGCGATATGGTCCATTCACCTGAAAAGAAAACTAATTCACAACCTCAAAAAAACTTAAGTTTTTCAAGTTTCCAAAAAAATTCAATTTTAAATTTAAAGAGTTCTAAGCAAAATTTTTTCAAATGTCAATAAAAGAACACAAACTTGAACCGCAGCTTCCACTGAGACTAGTGTTTGTCAAATGAATCCCGCACACCGTGTCGTTTTGAAATGTGAGAGCTAAGGTTACGCTGATTTTCCATCAAAACCCAAAACCAAAGTCACCCGCCCGCAATTTTCTTGCCTTTCGGGTCTCGAATTTGCAAATATGGGTCATCAAGAAGTTGTCCTTATTTGTGACATCGTTGCCGTATCGAATGAAAAGTGGTGCCTAATCTTTTGTTTTATTTCAGCTTTAAATGCAAATTTCGCTTTGTTTATGTAAATTTTACCAAAAGCAAATTTGATTGCCTGGATAGTATGTGATCAATCAATGTTGATAAGTTACCTGAGTCTACTAGGAAGCCACTGATGCATTCGAGCTCGAGCCCGTATGTCCCCGTGGGAACATGGCGCTGTACCCCGGGTTTGACCACACCAAACGTGCACCGTTCGACCAGCCGGAGAGACTAAAATATTGCAATGGACTTTGTTGTTACAGAGTATTTTTGTTGAAAATTTTGTTTGGATCCATTGGCAGCTTACATTATAGTTGCGCTAGTTGCGTGTAATCTATTAACTAACCTAACAATGTGCCTTGCTATCATCGCTCGCCCAGTACATCCAAACGCTATACCTCTGGCCAGTTAGAGATTGAAAGCCAGCTAAATTAAGTTAGGACGTACAACAATTGTTAAACGGAACAAACTTGAGCATTATCAGCATTCCAGACCCGCGACGTATTTTCATCAGAGGTGTAAAGATCACGATCAGATTGAATTTGTAGTAGACAAGTGTAGACCCTAAAGCAATTTTATAGCCAAAAGCATTTATTCAAACCTTTAGAACAGTGCTTGATTGAATTGCTCACCTATTAGACTATTTTCTGGACCAACTAATGGTGCTGGAGTTGCAGATCTATACTCTCTATAAGAAACGGAAGAGTGCTTGGTTGGTTCACTTGGTTCGCTTTTTTTTCTAAAATAAGTTTAACTGTTTGCAATACTGGATGTCATTATGGAATCAAGGCTTTGTTGGGCAACGATACAAGGTTTGGCCTCTGTAAAAATGAGTCCAAATGGGCATTATCTTTAGTTTTTTTTGTCCTAAAAAGGGAAGGTCAACTCGTTGTGATGGCCAAACTGAATGAGACTATTTGGCGCAGAATTTTACCTTTTTTTTTGAATATCCCTTAATAAAACCACTCGTACAACCGTACGTTAGCACATCTTTATGAATTTTCTTTTTGAAATAATCTTTGTATCATTCGATTTGAGCACCACAACCGGACGGTCAACCCTCGTAAAGAGTAAACCCTATACGCTTGTCTCTTTATTTTTAGTTCATTTTATCAAACCTCTTTCGTGGACAGTATATATATCCACAGAGAGATATCAATAGCAGAGCACAACACAAGAGGAATGCAATAAGTATAATAGAAATAGGAGTAAAGTATCTAACGATATCGGATATTGTTGGCCCTTCCAAAAACTAAAGATAAAATTTTCAAATGTGAAAATTGTTTTTTCTCACATTTAGAAAAACTGTCTCTTGCGTGTCTTTTGGGATGACTTCAAAGGGGAACTCGTGATCATTGCCTCCATTGACCAAAGCTTCTAACCTGAAACTTGTCACTTTATACTTGTCAAAATATTGCTAATCAAAAATAGATTACCGTACATACTGTAATTGAGGCTCCCCTCTAATATTGGGTTGCTGGACATGTCCTTCTCCGTTTTTTTGGGAGAGGATCTCAAACTCAACCAACTCAACCAACAAAGGTTTCGATTCCGGCTCGCGACAAAATTCTTAACTTTTTTTTTGCAAAATTCTCAAAAATGAGTTTCTAAGGGTAATTTAATACGCTGAATATGAATAACGTTCTTTTAGCCCATGTTATCAAACAAAAAACTATCAAAAGGCGATCTCGGCACTTTTGTGGGCGTGGCTGAGCTCACTAAAACGTCTGTAAAAGTTTAAAATTCAACGAATTCAAAAACTGTTTTGACCATCTTATTGGTCTTCAATTCAGCTTTTTAATGAATATACGTTGGAATTGGTTGAGTTTGAGAACCACTCCCAAAAACGGACAGAACTTATCCAGCAACCCAAAGAAGCCCCCCACTCTAAATTTGCGTTTATTTTGCTCAAAATTTACATAATTTTACTTTTTGCATTAATTTATCTCCTGTACACTTCTTGCTCATTTTATTTTATTATATTATATATTTTCTATATTTTATTTTCTTTTGTTTCTTTATATTTTACACTTTTTTGTTGAGAAATTGTAAAACATTGAACTTGTCAATGCTTTGCAGTTTCTCAATACGTTTCTAACTATTCTTTTAGATAGAATGAAAAATTTTGGCGACGGATTGGAGGAGTTCCGCGACCACCGGAAGCTTGAGCGAGATCTCTTTCAAAAAGTAAATTTTAATGGAAAGCGATATGGATGCAAATTCGATTGCAGGCACGGAGTTCGAGAAGAAAACGGAACGGAAAACGATCGGCATCAAGACGAAATTTGATGCTGGAAAAATGGCTCGATCGACTTCTATTCACTCGGCTTCAAAGTTCTTCAAAATTGATCGGTCTTGTATGCAGGTGGTGGCAATTCAAAGCCTCCTTCAATGGACTTGAGCTGGATTGTGAATGCTTGGAAAACAATCAGCGAGGAAACCATCCTAAAATCTTTCAAACCTGTGGAACCTGAATCGGAGATGAAGATCACTTGATTCACTGTTTCAAATCGGATGGTTCGATCTCCACAGAAATGTACATGCTGCAGCTGAAGGCCCCTCTGGAAGGGGAGGGAAAAAAAATAGAAGCCCCGGGGCTTTATTTACAATATCTACGGTAAGAAAATGCAGTTAAGAAGAACTCCAGAACCACTTACCAATCACAAAAGTGTTGCATATGATTCGTCGGCAGTCTTTTCAAAAGAGCTATTTTTTCCAAAAACCTCTCATCGTGAAATAGCCCAAAAATCCGTAGAGACTGAAAAAAAAGGTTTCTGAACTTGTTGAAAGAAACAAGCTACCATATTTAGATGACATTCCGGACACGATACGTTCAGCCGACTCCCGTAACTGTCCATGAATAAAGTATATTTGCCATTTAGTGTACAGTTCAACTTGTCAATACCAACTGTAAGCTGTTTTGATAAAAAATTTAAGCTCAAATTTGTACCTGGATGATCAAGGCTCATTTGTTGAGTGACCTAGAAAAAATTCTCTTCTTTCTCGCTTAAATTTCCCACCTGCACAAGAAATTCAGTTTCCTCCTTTTCGTATTCACACTTAAAGCGATTCTGATTTATCCAATCAAGATTGTCCATGAAAAAACTCTCAGCCGGGAGCATAAAACCAACTCTAAACTAGGAAAAGGCAAAACAAATTGCAGTTTTACAGGAGAACCAACCTCGCATCGTAGCGAAGTTCTAAGCAATTTGCAACAACTGAGTTAAGCCTTGAAGTATTTTTGCTCAGATTTTTGAAAAAAATGGCCACAACTAACCTGCACCATTCGCGCCATTCCACATCGTTGACAAAAAGTCTCACTTTTGCTTCTAAAAGAGCTCTTTCATCTAAAGTGTACAGAATTTTACCGGTAATCATTACTGTTGTTCGGCATGGGATCGTAATATTGTGAGTAAGCTGCTCAATTGAGAAAACGAGAAAACGATCATTGCTTTGCAAAAACGTTTTAGGCCCTAGATTTTCTTTGCTATTCATTTGTCATTCTAAACGCTTCAACCTTTAACGAAAAGATACACTTCCTCCGGGGAACACCCATAAAATTGACACCCCGACAGCCATAATATCCAGTATCGGTGACTGTGAGATTTTGAAGGTGTAGGATTGATCCCTGAAAATTTAGAATCACTCACATTTCATTCGCTTACCTGCTCATTGTGTTCGATTTGAGTTCTGTTCATGAACTCTGAGCTTTCAAAACGAGCAACTTTCGTGTTTGAGTTTGTCGGAAACATCCAACTAAAAACCCCTGGATTCAATTTTTAATTGTTCTCTCAATTGAAGATTATTTTAGCTAAACGCACCTTGAATCGTCGGAACATTGTAGACTGAAGTTCTCGCCAACTTCCTTCTGAACAAAGCTAAATCACCTTACTATTGCTTGGATCGAGAGATGTTAGTTCCGATAACTTGTCCAGAAATAACCATTTCTATCTTTTCTCAAATTTTGAAATACAACTCTTTGGCATCAATTTCTCATCAATTTCACCAAGTCAATGATTAAAAGCAATTTTTAACGTTGTTATCTTTTTGTTTTGTTAATAAAATTACACTAAATCCGCAAAAAAAAACTATGCATCAACGCAAAATTCTGATGAAAAGTTGCCTTGTTTAAAAGTGCTTTGTATAACGCCAAATAGTACCATCCCAGATTAAAAAAGCAAAACATTAACTAATGGATAAGTTGGCTATGGATTAGGTCTATCTAGTGATTCCAATACTTACTTTGATTTCCAATCGTCATTCCAATTTAGTTGATTGGTTGATTGAAGCCTTTCTTCAGCACATTCGTGGAATATGAAAAAGAAGGCAAAGAAAAACGCTTTCATGCGTATTAATTTTTTTCATTGAAGTGATTTTTTCATTGAAGAAATATATTTATTTGACACGGCTTAATGTCGATTCCGGTTATGAATAAAAAGTAAGGCAAAATTCAGAATCTAGAAAAGGATTTCGCCAAAGTTTTGTGCAATTTTATTGCGAAAATTTTTGCTGCGCTCGCAAACTATTTTGAAAGGGATTGAGAAAAGGTAACGAGTATCGATTTTTGACCAGCAGATCTTTTTCTATTTAGCCTTCTTACTCAATGCAACCTTGAAATGAAACATTGATCAGCTAAGAAAGTATGAAATCCTTTTTTGCCTACAACTTTTGACTCTTGTCAAGAGTGAAAAACTTCAAAAACGTTTGCTGCTTTACTCTAATTCGAGTTTTGTTTATGTTCTTGAATTTTGTTGAACTCATGAATCTTTTTATTTTCATTTGATGTTAACTTTAACCTTTTCTTCATTGAGGTCTTACTTTGAAAGACTTTTAGGCTCAATGCCTCAAAAGCCACTCGTGGGACTACGTACCACTCGTGAACCATCACAAAATTTGTTCTTTTTTCTTTTCCTTTTCAACATCTTGCCTCTTTTCCTTTTACAATCGACAGAAGATGATTTCAAAAGGAAAATTCTTGCTCTGACTACAGCGGATGGTAGCGAAGTCGATGGGTTCGTTGATTTTTTTTTTCTTGAGGATGGATTTGATTTGATGAGGATTTGATCTTTCTAGTGAGTTTTTTCTGGAGCCGGGTCAGAGCTTGCACTTACGATGCATTCAACCCATCGGAACATCTTTTCAGCTAAAGTGAGTGGGTAAAAAGATTTTTCAAAGCAAAATTGGTATTTGTCGATTTTCTCCGGTCATTTTTTCATTTAAAATGGATTTGCAAAATTGAAATCGATAAACATGTCGACAAGCATGTGGTTCTTACATGTTCTTACATGGTTTTTTCGCAATTTGAATGCTAATAAAATTTAAATTTAAATGCTAGTTTAGTATGTTCCTATATGGAAAAATCCGAGAAAACCCCAATTTTAGTTGGCTGCTACCAAACGTCACCAATCAAAATCTCGAAGGTTTCGATCAATCCGATTATCGTCGCAGAGTCAAAGTTGAAAGCAATGATAGGGCAATCTATTTAGCAAATGACAAATGAGCAAATCATTCAGGATTCAACCATCAACATTTCCCATCTTAACCCAACGGACACTGGAAATTACGTCTGTCAAGCCGTTTTCAACAATGCTATCCATTTCTCGCAATCTACATATGTTTTTGTAAAAGGTGGTTTAAAGAAAATGAAGCTGTTAACGGAGATTTCAGGTACAAATCTATTTTTGGGTAGTTACAGCAAAGCATTGACTCTGCACAGAAAAGTGGATCTTTTTGATTTTATTGTTCCATGCCGTACGACAAAGCCGATAGAAGGTAGACAAGAATATTTTAAATGCTTATTAAAATTTAGCCGCTAAAATGAAGCTTTTTGTGAACAATGTGGAATGGTTGGCATTGTGCGGGTTTGTTTTGAGCGCACTATTTTCAGTTTCTGTCTTTTTCCCGGTTTTAGATCTGAAAATCGAAGTGTTTCCGTACTCTCGCGGGGACCAAATAATCGAAATCTGAGGGATTTCCGCTCACAAAACTGTTCTCAACTTTGGGAATATTACAATCCTAGGTAAACCTTTGCAAATTCTAACTTTGATCTAAATCAAAACGGGCAGTTGATTTGCCCGTAACCTGGTATTTGAGAGCCATTTGATTATTCGATTTGTCATAGGTTGGTGTAGGTGTACACGCTTCACATCAGGAGGCTAAAATATTTTTTTATACAAAATTTAACACATGAAAGCAATAAAGAGAACAGAATCGGCTAACACATACAGTCGTCCACAAAAGTAATGCCCCATTGCCATTCAAAAATATTTTTTGCAAAATTCCTCCTGAAAACATATTTAAAATATTTTTTTTTTCTTTTAAAATACTTTAGAAGTTCTAGTTGTTAAATAACTGGATTTTTTGATTGAGATCCTTCCAATCAAAAGATCGATGTGGAAGAGTGCAATTACCCCTAAAATTAGCTCCACAAAAGTAATGCCCCATTAATCGTTTTCATGATTATTCTTTTTGTTTTTCCTTCTATAAACATTAAGTGTATTCTATTGTATTATTGGGTTGGGGAGAATGAGTCGGCGCCGAAAATCAAAGAAATTTCTAAAACTTATAGCAGACTTTGTCAAATGATATGCGTTTGATATCCGTAGAAGGGTAACTAATTCTCTACAAAATAATATTTAAAAGAGAACTCAAACAGCGCCTCAACTCAACAAAGGATCATTTTTTTCACAAAATCGATAAACTGTCATCTAGAGTAAAGGGTTGGAGGGATCTTCCTGAAAATTTGGTAACTTATGTAATTGAGTGTGCTCTATCTTTTTTATATAAACACCAAAGGAGGTTTATGTGGAAGAAACTGTTCAAGCAATGAGTCGGACTTTCTGTCATTTTGATTAGCTGTGTTTGGGAATCCATAAAATCCCAAAAAAGCAAAGCTTTGTGGAATCTCTCAAAAGCCATTTTGTAAAGAATTAGTGGACCATTTTGATAAAACAAAACGTGTATTTAAAGAAGGTTTTATGGATGCAAAAAGTTTCTTTAAATTTCGGCGCCGACTCATTCTCCCCAACCCAATATTTAGATCCCTGACATGAAAAATCTCGACACTCCGAAGAAGCTCCAAATCGCTAAGGCCCGGAAAAATGGGATGCGGGAGAAGGATGTGGCCAACCACTTCAATTGCTCGAGATGGACAGTGCGCCGCATTTTTTCACAATCAAAAGCCGGCAAAAAGCTTCATCAAGGCCTCAAGAGTGGCCGACGACCAATCACAACCATAAAAAAAGATCGACGATCCGTGATCCAAATCATGAAAAACGATCCAAACAAAACATCTACCGATGGAAGCCAAATGATGAGGGATCAATTTAACAAGGTTGTATCGCCGGAAACGATCAGACGACGATTAAATCAAGCTGGATTATATGCAAGAAGGGCTGCCTGTAAACCTCTGATGAATTTTAAATACCGGAAGCAGCGCCTTGATTTTGCATGGACCTACCGAAGTTGGACAATAAGTAATTGGGCGAAAGTGCTATTTACCGAGGAGACAAAATCAATTTATTTCACGCGGACGGAAACCATCTTATTCGACGGCCGACTGGAAAGCGATACACACTCAAGTACATTCGGCCTACGGTGAAATTCAATGGAGGCAACATAATGTGTTGGGGTGAGAGCCTTTTTAGTATTTTGTCGCCTGACTGTTTTTCTTTAGGAGCGATGTCACGAACTTCAGTAGGTCCATTAGTTCACGTCAACTCAACGATGAATGCTGTGGTTACAAGAACATTATGGAGACCCAAATGCTGTCTTTTGCCATACAGACGATGCCTCCTGGATGGATGCTCTACCAGGACAATGACCCGAAACACAAGACAAGGCTCATGATGGGAACGGTGGTGACTCTTCAAAATGGTACACGAGCACGACTTGCGGGCTGGTTTGCGGCAAGTCGAGTCAAATTGATCAATCCGCCTCGCGACTCACCGGATATCAATGTTATCGAGCGTCTCTGGTCATTTGTGAAGTCGCGACTCAAGGAAAAGAAATTCGATTCGAAGGCTGTCTTATGGGTTCACATTCAACGTCGCTGGGCCACCATCCCCCAAAGTCTTTTGAAGAATCTCGTGGATTCCATGCCGAATTGACTCAATGAAGTAATAAAAGCAGAAGGAGGACCAACCAAGTATTGATTTTAAAAAATTGTGTTAATTCTTTGCAAATGGGGCATTACTTTTGTGGAGCTAATTTTCAAGTAGCTTATTGTTTTTGTTTTATAAGGTGCGTTGCAAAATGATAGGACCACCCCTAAATTTTACATTTTTGGCTATGAAATTTAATAACGCGAAATGGCTTTTAAATTCTAGAAATATATACAAAAATAGGCATCTATACCATTTTTAACATTATCTGAACAAATTGCAACAAAATTGGAACATTTTCTTTATTTAACACCTGTTGCGAAATGATAGGACCACATAAAAAATAACAATAAATTTGAGAATAAACAAAAGAAAAACCAATGAAGAGTTTATTAACAATCAATATATGCGTCCTTTTTCTTGATGACGTTTCTTTATTTAATACCTGTTGCAAAATTTAACACCTATTCTTCGAGTTCACCAAGTTGAGGCGTTTGTGGTGAAATTGACGTTTTGTGGTGAAATTTGATAAATATTCCTTACGAAGATGCCCCATAAGTTTTCCATTGGGTTTAGGTCCGGTGAGCAGGCAGGCCATTCGAGAAAATCGATGTTGTGTCGTTCCAGAAAAGCTTTAGTGGATTAGCTAACATGAATTGAAGCATTATCCTGTTGAAAAATATAGTGTTTATCTCGATTTTGTGCTAGGAAAGGAAGTAGTCGATCCGCAAGGACGTCCTGTTAAAGCTTTCGATAACGTCCCGGAGACTTTTTCTTGACGTCCCGGAGACAACTTGGTGCGAGCGCTTCATTTTTTTTTGCGATCTTCCGATTCGACAACTTTCTTCCTTTCAAAATCAAAACTTTCATCTGTTCGATCCGCGAAAGCGATTTTCCACGTCCCATCTTCCTAAAAAATAAATATTAGCAAAAAGTAAGCAAATCTAAAAGCCGATAATGTCGGCTGTTTGAAAATGGCGAGAAAAGACCGCATAGCAGAAAGGAGTGAAAATTTGGTATCAGCACGGTAGACCGAAGGTTGAAGACCTCATGGCTTGAGGAAAGCGCCACATCCACTGGAGGTGCCTGGAGGAAGCTGAAGGGGAAGAGAAGTCGAGTGGGCGGTCTGTGGTGCCGGCAAATTCTTCGATCGCGTTGATCACAAGGGCTTCCATCAAGGCTTGTTGATCAGCTGTCGTTTCCTAGTGTGGTTCGACTTTTGCGATCTGAAGCTTCGTGACAGGGAAGTCCTTCATTCCGGCGGCAATCCAAGAAGAAGCCGCTGTGAAGAAGCGATTGTTGGTGTAGCCAAGATTTTTTTTGAAAAAATTTTGGCTACACCAGGCACCTCCAGTGGATGTGGCGCTTTCGTCAAGCCATGAGGTCTTCAACCGTCGGTCTACCGTGCTGATACCAAATTTTCACTCCTTTCTGCTATGCGGTCTTTTCTCGCCATTTTCAAACAGCCGACATTATCGGCTTTTAGATTTGAATTTCTTTATTTTGTGTCTATGCCTTTTACTCGCAGCTAGCAAAGATTTTCCAGAGATAAGCAACTTTTCATATTTCTAACCACTACCACTAGATTTATCGTGTAACGATATTGCTATTTTCTTTCACCAACAAATTTGTAGACCAAATTTCCCCCGATTGATGTTTCGATCGAAATTAGCAGATGTTCGGCTTTTCTGTTTCAACAAGCTATTCAACAAGTTAATGCAATGAATTTATTATTTCGATTTGTTCAAATCATTTTTGAATCAAGTAAAATCAAAACAATCCCTTCGACACAGTGACCGTACCAGCCTTCAATCCACTTGGTATCACGATTTTTTTTTCGGCTTTCGGAAACATAGTATACTTATTATACTAAAATTTCACATAATGTTATGAATTTAACTCCTGTACTGTGCCTGGAAAACAGATTAAACAACAAAGCTTGATTGAAATCGATCGAATTGAAGAAGATGACCATTAAATTATCGCCAAAGAAAAGGTTTAAAAAGATGGCGAATAGATAAAAAATGATCGTATTTGTGAGGTTGAGAAAAGAATTTGTGAGCATCTAAAAGAGTTTTGTAAAAGAAAATCGGAAAACTGATACCTGGATCATTAGCAAACTCTCGACTCGTGACGTTTTCCCGTGCTGGTTCAGCTGAAACTAAGTAATGGGTGACTTTTACCAATGGATATTTGCTAGTTTGTTAGACTAATTTCAGGTCTTTGTCTTTGGGGTTACAGTAAGATTACAGTATGTCTAACAATAGACTAATAGGAATCTGTCACTACATTTTAGACCCTAAAGTTTGCCTGCTCTGTTTAGTAAGGTGCGTTGCAAAATGATAGGACCACCCCTAAATTTCAAATTTTTTTGGTTATGAAATTTAATAACGCGAAATAGCTTTTAAATCCTAGAAATATATACAAAAATAGGCATATATACCATTTTTAACGTTATCTGAACAAATTGCAACAAAATTATAGCAATTTCTTTATTTAACACCTGTTGCAAAATGATAGGACCACAGAAAAAAATAACAATAAATTTGAGAATAAACAAAAGAAAAACCAACGAAAAGTTTATTAACAATCAATAAATCCGCCCTTTTTCTTGATGACGTCTAGTAGTCTTTCTTTATTTAACACCTGTTGCAAAATTTAACACCTATTCTTCGAGTTCACCAAGTTGAAGCGTTTGTGGTGAAATTGACGTCCAAGCTGCAAAATTGCTTTTTTGAGTTGCGAAATCGTGTCGTAAGTCTTTCCATTAGCATAAATATTCCTCACAAAGATGCCCCATAAGTTTTCCATTGGGTTTAAGTTTGGTGAGCAGGCAGGCCATTCGAGATATTGTGATATTGTGACGTTCCAGAAAAGCTTTAGTGGATTGGCTGACATGAATTGAAGCATTATCCTGTTGAAAAATATAGTGTTTATCTCGATTTTGTGCTAGGAAAGGAAGTAGTTGATCCGCAAGGACGTCGAGTTCATGCGACAAGTCACAAATTCTAAATCAAGAACGTCATCCACATTGAAAGCGCCCCATATCATCAGCGATCCTCCTCCCACAAAGCATTGGATCTTTTCTCAAATCGTGCCAATAGTACTTGTTGCCGTCGAGACCATTCAAATTAAATTTTTTCTGATCGCTGAAGATGACCTACAAAGAAAAAAATAGCTAACAACTCAAGGCAAAAAGTTGACTTTTTTCAATCGATGGTGATGTGATCCCGAGCCCAAGACATCCTTTTTTCTTTGTGTACCGGCTTCAGTTTTGGTGCTTTCTTCATGATTGTTCTTTTGATGTAACGGATGTAACACTTGATTGCTCGAGAAAGAGTGTTTTTGTGAACGGGAGCTCCAATTTGTACCTTGACGTCCTGTAGCGACATCACAGAATTCGACAACAGACGTCCCATATGCCGTTCAGCGCGGACCGTGAGCTTTCGATGACGTCCCGGAGACTTTTTCTTGCCATACTTGAAAGGATCCTCCAAGAAATTTGAAACAACTTGGTGCGAGCGCTTTTTTTTTGCGATTCGCCAACTTTCTTCCTTTCAAAATCAAAATTTTCATCTTCCTAAAAAATCTTCGATCTTCCTAAAAAAATAAAAATTAGCAAAAAACATGGTTATTACAGGTAGAAAATCAAAAAGAAACGTAGTGGTCCTATCATTTTGCGACAGGTGTAAAATAAAGAAATGCTTAAAAAATTTTGCCTTTTAAAGTAAATTATTTGGCAAACGGTATTTGGGCGTACTTTTGTATCTAAAATTCGAATTTAAGCATCATTTTGCATTTTTAGTTATTTAAAATCAAAAATCGCAAAAATCGAGGGCGGTCCTATCATTTTTGCAACGCACTGTACTTTAGTTTGTATGTAATGTATACGGATAAATCTTATATTCTTGAAAAGTCGAGTCTTATGGGTCGGTAAAAATACCCTACTCTTTTTCTGAAATGTCGACTTTGCAAGATTTCCTTACAAAACATACTGTTGGATGGCAATGGGGCATTACTTTTGTGGACCACTGTATAACATAATCAGTCAATAAAACCTAATTTTCCTCTTCATCTTCTTCATTTTCGCTCAAATTTAAAAGTTCTTCAAGTTGACCTCCAAGTTTATCGATATCATCAACTTCAATTTCGGATGCAAAGGGATCTCCGACATCAAAAGACATCTTCAAACGTAATTGGTGATTGGTGCAAAAGATTACAACAAAAAATACAAAAAAATTGTTTTTTACAAAAGACCATTTACTAGAAAAACTAACGGAGCAATAATTTAGGAGCAGTTTCCTGATATTTTTTTCTATCAAGATCGAAAATCTTGCATTCGTAAATGTCAGTAGCCTCCAAAGGGCGAAAAATGATGCTGAAATGACACGAATATTTCCTTGAGAGTTCTGATACTAATATTTTGTTATGAGACTTACCTTGACTGTTAAGTGCAGACATTGAGTGGCTCCAAAATACCAAGTTACAATCAAATCAGCCAAAGCAAATCACCCCAGCCGGGTTTTTTTCGTCCATTTTACATAATAACTGCCAATATAAATGTTATCAAGAAAACGTTTTTTCTAAATCCGGCCCCAATTAATGCCCCCCCTTTAAACTAAAAACAATTGAAGCTGCATATGGCTCAATGGCTTCAGATGGCTTTGTTTTGACTTTTTTCTTCATACTAGCAATTTATAGCGCTCGAAGTCCAAAATAGCCGATTATTTACATGGGAAAAACAAAAAAAAACGAATTTTTAAAAATTTAGTTAGACGCATTTCAAAAAAAATTTTTTAATTTGGAATCAGGGTGCTTTTTTTACGTCGATTGGCATCTACCCCGTTAAAAACCCATAGAAATCACTTTTTCACCATTTTATTGCGCGAATGTGCAACATGCTATCAAAACGTTTTCAGAACGGGTTTCAACATCTCATCACTTTCATCAGCAATGCAATGGAGTCAGCTCAATAATAAAAGGTTCCGATGCGAATACGAACAAGAGAATGTGGAATTTTCAATTTGGGTAAAAAACAAATATCTGTTTAGAGTAACCAAAAAAATTTCAGGTCACACGAACAATCACGAAGTACAAGGGTGAGCTAGTTTACCATTTTTTGCATAATTGGAGATAAGTGACACACTTAAAATTTACATAAAGCCACAAAACCTTAAAAAGCTAACTTGCCAAGCAATCTAGAAGTAATTTAGCATTATGAATTAGTCCTATTAGTGATTTTTTGACTCGTACTACTACAAAACTCTAGGTGGCCATCATGAACGAAAGGGGTTCGGAAAGGGGTTCGGTGGTTGTCCTTTATCTAGCCATTCGGCTTTGTGTTTTCGGTTATGGTAGAGGACCCGTTTTTCATCACAAGTTACAATTCGATCCAGAAATGGCTCCTTTTGATTACGAATCAGCAATGAATACGATGTGAGGTAACGGTGCAATTTTTGATATTCGTTCAACTGATGAGGCGCCCACTTTTCTAATTTTTGTACTTTTCCGATTTCCTTGAGATGGTTCCCAATTGTGTGTGGAGTGACCCCAAAGTGCGTTGCTAATTCTGCCTCCGTTGTTCTGGGATTCGCTTCTACCAGCTCCTTTAATTCGTCATTGTCGAGACTAACATGGCGTCTGCGGCCTTCTTTGTCATTAAGATCCTCGTCGCCTTCCCGAAATTGTTTGAACCAGTGCTAAACTGCTCGAACTTTAGCTTTGCCTTCCCCAAAAGCTTGATTGATGTTTTGGGTCCCTTCTGACCAAGCTTCTGACCATTGTGGCCAAGCTTGAACTCATACAAGAAGCGAAGGCGAAAGTCTCGATTTTCCATCGATGTGAAACAACCTGAAAAAACCATTAAGAAAGATCCAAGCAAAAGTGTGAAACAGAAAAGAAAATTGAGAAAAAAATACTCAAATACATAAAAAACCCCAAGATCAATAAGCATCTGCAGCCGCGTAGGCAACGCCGGAAAGTGAGATCCACAAATACGACATTAATTTCTTTTTTTCCGTACCTAATATTATAGTTAATGAAACATGATCTAGAAATCGAAACGCGGAACCATCCAAAGAAAAAAGACAAGTACAACAAGTCAATGAAATAGAGGTAACAATGTCAATGTAAGCTTTGTCAAAGCAAAACAACTTCAGCAAATGGAGGACAAGGATCTTATTCACGACTTCTTGATTGGGAATGGAACGTATGGGATCGTTTACAAGCTAAAGAACCACGATCCGTAAATTTACTCTCGATTCTTCGAAAGCCATCCTTTAGGCCAAGAGTCGTCAAGTGGTTACAATGCCCAATCACAGAGAGCTCTTTAAAAGGCTTCAAACAAGAATGTGAAGCCTTGCAGAATTTAAAGCATCAACACATCGTTCAACTATTTCGAATAAAAGTGATTGAAGCATTAAATAAGTTTGGAATTGTAACCGAGTATTGCGAGCGAGGGGATTTAACGAAACGTAAACTTACAAAGAGCTTAATAAGCGTACAAAAACAAATTTAGTCTATCTTGAAGCCACAATAATCTACAATATGAGAACAGTTGTTGTTTGGGGTCGACAACTTTTCGATGCTCTAACGCATATGTACAAAACGCATAGCTACATTCATCGGGACCTAAAACCGGAAAAGTATTTTTCTTAAACTTTTAACAAAATGCATTTCAATCAAGCATCTTTGTCACGGAAGGTTTCTTGTTGAAAATTGGCGATTTCGGGCTAGTGAAGCACATCCGCAAAACGTGTGCTGGGACATATGCGGGAACCGAGAGATATATGAGTCCGCCGGATACGCCCAAACGGGCTAGCCCGCCGGATGTCGAATGGCCCAGCCCGAAGGTAAGTTGCTTAGAAAGTTCCAGAACCATTTCGAATTTTTTCGATCACCGATTTCGAATATCGAGCTGGTTTGTGTGTAATGGGTTCAAATTTTCGATTTAAATCCCTTGAAGTTTGTGCGTTAAAAATGAAGTTTCTGACTCTTGCGCTAATTATCTAACTGCGCGAGTATCAAGCTATCTTGCGTTCTTTGAAGATACAGTAGCGGACAGAACTTTGGAAACTTTTGTTTTTTCTAAAAAATTTTCTTAGTAAAATCTGATTCGGTATGTTTACTAGCGAAAATATGTAGACCTAAAAAGCACGTAATAATCCATAAACAGAACTGCTGAATTTTTTGAAAACTATTATTTTTAATGCATTTATCTATAAACCCAGAGGACATAAATTTGGAAACCTTTAAAAACAACTCTAAATAATGACGTAACAACCATTAAACTTCTAAATTAAAACAAAAACAAATAAATCAATTCAATACTTTGTGGAAGATCCTTTAGAATCTATAATAGTCTGGCACCGAGCGCTCATCGAAGCCACCAAGTTGTCGATGGTTGTTGTTTGAATTTCCATCTACTTCTTAGTCAAAAGCTCGCATTCTTCATTAAGATTATGGCTCTGAACGCCTGACAGGCTCTCTCCAGAACTTCCTATAGATGTTCAATATGGTTTAAATCAGAGCTCTGGCTCGGCCATTTCATAAAATAATTCCTTCCTTCTGACACCAGTCCTTTACAAGCCGCGAGTATGTTTGTCCTGTTGAAAAAGAAAGTTGGAAGGCATCAACTGGAAGGCATTCAACTGGAGGGAAGCTTATGTTTCGAATCGGGATCCCTGTTCAACAACGTTTGATACTCGCGCAGTCAGATAATTAGCGCAACAGTCAGAAACTTCTTTTTTAACGCACAAACTTCAAAGGGATTTAAATCGAAAATTTGAAGCCATTACACAAAAACTAGCTAGATATTCGGAATCAGCGAAAATCCTGCTATAAAATAGGTTAGGTCTCACTTCGAAACTCGATGGTAAATAAACAACGATCGCTAGTTAGGGTTCAGTTGGAGCAGCTCTGACCCAAAGAGTGCTTGCGACTAGTTCTGATTGTTGTGCAGCTGATGCAATTTCAGATTTCTCATCTAAATGACGTTTACAGTCTGGGACTTGTCTTATGGGAACTCGTCGAAAGAAGGTTTTCAAAAGCTAAAAAATAAGCAATGAATTTCAGGCTGGTTTTTGGAGACTATGACCACGGTAACGGTTTCTATCGAGATGGTTTTATTGCAGACATTGCAAGCGGAGCCCTTAAGAAATTGACCACTTCAATGTCATTTGTTCAAGATATTATTAACAGGTTCGAGGTACAGTCATAGAAAAACCAGAGAATTCTTTTTCGATGCGCCGACTTTCAACGTTGTTCTCGACCCCAAGCTTGTGTTATTTTGAAAGAGCTGAAGGAGTTGGAGGCGGGTTTAAGTTTTAAAATCAGAATCAAATTCTTCAGGAAGCCTTGGGCACTTCGAAATTACCACCGTTACCAATAATAGAGAAGGATCGTAAAAGACTTCTGCGACCAATCGATCGTCAAGAATTTCAGACATCAGTAAGCACCGCCTCTTCACTCTCTCCTCCTAATATTTCTAATGGTCTTTTAAATCTATAATAGATTCTCTTTTTGAAATGTATGTTTTTTGAAAAAGTTTGGTTTAGCCAAAAAAAAAATAAAATTTAGCAAGAATTTGGGAATTCCTTGGAGATTGGATTGTTTTGTACTTTTGTAAGTAACCCACTGAATAAAAGCTTTTGTTTTTCTTTTATCAAAAATTAGTTTCCTTTCTGTTCGCCGTGACAAGTTTGCAGTGTTCGCAATGGCAGGATTGGTTTAGTTTTTTTACACAGGAAGACAGGAAGAGATGTGATTGGGACAGGATCTTTGTGGTGAGAACTAGTTTTGATAGAAAGCCCAATCAAAAAGGCTCTTTTTTGGTTTTAGAGTTAAAGCAAACCAGCATCTTCATATTATCAGAACTTTTTTGAGGATAATTGTCAAAAAATCGGATAATCCTAATAGCTTTTTTTTGTTTTATCCAGACATTTCTGATGTTCATCAACGCTTGTTCACACAAAATTCATCTCTAATTTATCTCTAAACTACGAATCGTCATTTTCTTTCCGATTAACCGATGATCTTTGCTCTCAGAATTTCTCTGTAGCTTTATTTGTTGCTTTTATGAACGCAAAGAATCTTTTCCATTAGAATGTAAGGGTCCTAGTGATTGCTCTTGCTTGGCTCTTGCTTTTGTTGTTTCCCGTTTGCATCGTTTGGCACAACCAGATTTGGAGGATACAAAAAGTCGAGAACCCTATTCATCTGTTGAATCGATACCAATTTTTTTTTGCAAAAGCTCTGCTTTGATCAAAAAAATGATCGGAAATTTGAGGTGCTTTTGTGGCCCGTTAAGGCTCTTTTTCTACGTAAAGTAACCACATTCAGAAACTTTTAATACAAATATTGTAAAGACTGCGAACTTGATGGGAATAAAAGCTTCTATTGATTATTGGAAGTTAATATTGATATAGAAAAAGAACTTTGCTTTGACTTGCTTTCTTGACGAAGTCTAGCTTGAATTCATGGTTTTTGCAAAAAAAGAAAAGAAAACAGAAAAGAGCTACTTTTCTGCACAAAATTGTTATTCTTTAACAAATAATTATAGCTTATCATTGAAAAACTGAGAGCCTTTGAGAGCATTTTTGATGAAATAATAAGTACAGGGTGCGCCAAAAGTTCCCGTACTTGTATTTTCTGCATTTTTGGTAATTTTAGATAAAAGATACGATGTTAAAAGTAAGAAATTCGAATTCCTCGCGAAAAACTGATTTAGAAAACGTTTCTGGTTAATTTTTAAGTGCAACGCTATTTAAGACAAGTGATTGAGAAGGGTCCGCTCAGGGGTGCTTTGGTCGCACATTTTCTTGGGGCTTCAGACCTGTAACTTTTATGGATCAAAAGATTTACAAGAGCCAAGATGTTTTTCGAAAACTAGACATAAAATGTGACATTTTTTATATTGGGTTTATAAGGTTTTAGTCAACGGCCGAGTCGGAAGTCAGGTTAGAACTTGGTTTTCCCATACGAATTTCCATCAAAGGAAATAACTGTGACTGTGCCCTGCAACTGTGCCCTGCAACTGTGCCCTGCAACTGTGCCCTGCAACTGTGCCCTGCAACTGTGCCCTGCAACTGTGCCCTGCAACTGTGCCCTGTAACTGTGCCCTGTAACTGTGCCCTGTAACTGTGCCCTGTAACTGTGCCCTGTAACTGTGCCCTGTAACTGTGCCCTGTAACTGTGCCCTGTAACTGTGCCCTGTAACTGTGCCCTGTAACTGTGCCCTGTAACTGTGCCCTGTAACTGTGTCCTGTAACTGTGCCCTGTAACTGTGCCCTGTAACTGTGCGACCAAAGCACCCCTGAGCGGACCCTTCTCAATCACTTGTCTTAAATAGCGTTGCACTTAAAAATTAACCAGAAACGTTTTCTATATCAGTTTTTCGCGAGGAATTCGAATTTCTTACTTTTAAAATCGTATCTTTTATCTAAAATTACCAAAAATGCAGAAAATACAAGTACGGGAACTTTTGGTGCACCCTGTATTGCTTCTTTTAATGAGTCTTCTTCTTCTTTTAAACGCTTGAGATCGATTTTGTGAAACGAATGACCTTGAACGGTCAAAAAAGATAAAAAGAAGAACCATTGCCATATGAAAACTTTTCAAACAACTGTTTATTAATTACAATTTCATTCAATTAATTCATTCAAATGACTCGTCGATGGACTCTTGAGGATATTTGTGTTGCTGCTGCCTTTTTTATTGGTTGCTCTGGAGGTTTGTGAAAGAAATAAACTCTAAAAAACTTTATCGTCCTCAAGTATATAAATAGACTTGTTTGACAATCATTTTTTAAACATTTAAACTTGTTTTTTTCTTCAAAATGCCCAAACTCGGCTCGGCACAAAAATATTCGAAAAATGAGTCCAAATTTGCATTTTTTTAAAAACTCTTTATCGAAAGGAAGCCAAATTTATAAAAACTTTCATATCAAAAACACGATTCATCTTAAAACTCTTTCTTTAGTGGCACTTTTGTGCACGAGTGGATGCAAGCTGTTGAACAGGGATCCCGATTCGAAAAGGGGATGGCTGCTAGCCACACTCGGCTTTTTGGCAATCGTCGTGACAATTTGTGCGACAATTGGCGTGATTTTTCTATTCAAACACATTCACGATTCGAAGCCATTGGAGTATTATTGGACAAGGATTGATGACGATGATGATGCGGCGACGAATTCAACGGGTCTTTCTACGAGTAATTTCACAAGTTTTTGAGTATTCATCTTGAAATAGACCGACTTCTCCTTTGACCTTCACAGCAATCATCTTTTTTGATGGCAAAAGCGAATAGGGAGATTGAAATAAATGCCTACCGTAAATAGTGTAATTGAAGTCCCGAAGCTGCTAATTTTTCCCCTTCCCCTCAAGAGGGGCTTCTAATTTTCATTTGAAAAATATCACGTTACCAAAATTGGATATACTGACAGATGGATTCATTCGATAAACTAATTTTCTTCAATTTTATTTTAAAAAACCGTATAAACATCAAAAACAAGTGCCAATAATCAACAACATTTAGCAAAAACAAATTGGAAATAATCAAACTAGATATCAAAGTCAATCGAAACATCGGAGTCAATGAAATTATTCTGGAGCTCTTCTTAACTGCATTTTCTTACCGTAAATACTGTAATTAAAGCCCCGGGGCTTCTATTTTTTCCCCTCCCCCTCCAGAGGGGCCTTCTAATTCACCTGGTTTTTTGAAAAATTTCAAGCTACCAAAATTGGATATACTGACAGATAGATTCGTTCGATAAACTAATTCTCTTCAATTTTATTCAAAAAAACAGTATAAACATCAAAAACAAGTGCCAATAACCAACAAAATTTAGCAAAAACAAATTGAAAATAATCAAACTAGACATCAAAACCAATCTTTTCCATCGGATTTCCATTGGAATCAACGAAATTATCGGCTTCTTCTTCTGGATCATTACTTAAAAGCTGGTCAAGTTTAATTTTCTCACAGTTCATTTTCAGAAGAAACTCCTACTTGAAGACTTACTATAAATTGTTGGTAAAGCTTGTTGTCATCTTGGGGGGAGGTCTTATGCGCTATGAACCCTTAATGGACATTCTTTTTTATGGGTGGTGAAATAAATAATTTTTTATAGTTGATAAGTATCCAATTCTAGGTGTTCCAGTTCTAGGTGAACCGAGAAACCCTTTGAATTCGAACTTTTGCGCGATAATGAACGCACAGACGGGCTATTGGTTGCACTCGATCATTTTTCGTTCTTCTGCTCTATCGGCTTCTTCTTCTGGATCATTTTCTTCGCGAAAACCCTCAAATCCTGCCGATTCCAAGGGTTCTATAAGGTTGGAAAGAAAGTTCTCGGAAAATGTTTGTCTTTCAGCCAAATAAAATGCTTAAATGACTTTTGTTTCATGAGCATGTTTCCATTTGAAAGACAAAAATTTGAAGCTTTCACCAGGAACAAGTGTTTTCCTTTTTGCTACTAAGTCCGCAGAAATCGAGATCGAAAGTAATGTATTGAAGATTACTGCGAAAAGTTTTTTGTTGATGTTGAAAGTTGATTTTATTCACATTTAGTACTTGAAAGATAAAATAAACAAATTTTTTTCACTATTTGACAGGAATTGATTCGTTTTCTTCTATCTACAACAACGTGAGAGCCACTTGATTTGGCGTCATGGGTGGGCATTTCCAATTGTAGAAATAGTAGTGCAAATTGCCGTCGCCGATGCCAAATTTGAGCGGGCGGAAGATCTGAATGAAGATCACGTTATTTTACATCTCGAAACGTTACAAAGCTTCCATAAAAACCATTAAAAATCTCATTGTTACCTCTTCGAGATGCGTCATGTTGAGCGCATTGAATACATCGAAAGACTCAATATTGGCGAGAATCAGCGCGTCTTCCATCAACTCCTGCAACGAGACCGATGTGGCTATGTTGTAGAAAGAGTAGGCAATCTAAAGAGAGCGAGAACTTCTCAATGACTTCTGGCGTGGCTTACATTAAGTTTCTTGTGGATGGGATGTTGAAGAACGGAGGTGTTGACTGTGTAGAATGAGATGAGATCAGTCACCACATCGGATTTCTCGACGACAAAAGAATAGATAATGCCTTTTCTAAAAAAATGTAAAAAGGTTTTCGGATTTTCCCAATTACCTCGGCAAGAAGAAGTGCTCAAACTCAGGCTCCTCGAAAACCGGTCCAACTTGAAACTGTTTTGAGTAAGTGTTGAAAAGCTTGCAGGCTGATGAAATGTCTCTAAAAGTACAGTTTTTCCATCGATTGGTTACAAGAAAGAAAGAATAACTTTTTCTCCAAGGCCCTCAATCCGGGAATGTTTGTTGCTTTGGGCAAACTGTAAAAAGCGATCGTTTCCTCCATGTTCATCTTGCGACCAAGAGCTGAGAACTGACACTAAGTCTTTGTTGTAGCATTTTTGTTTTTCATTTACCTCGATGAGCTTCTTTGGATTGAGACTCCGGTGATAGTAGCGACACACGGCATACGGTCTTGGGATGATCGTCCCTGATGTAAAGGCCGCCTAATGCAAAATATGTGGGGGATCGACCAACACATGTAAGCGAAATTTGCGCTTTTCGCTGGGATTTTGAATGAAACCTTTAAAAGCCGATAGCTTTATCAAGAAAACTATTACCGTATTTTCTCTAATACCGCACCGCAGCGAGCCGAGTTGATGACTATTTTACGGTTTTCAGGTTTTTACAGAAGCTCAACACTCTAATCCTCCACAAGATCTCATCGTCAGCTTTAAATTTTAAAAAAAAAAAAAAAAAAAATTTTTTTTTTAAAAAAAAAAAAAAAAAAAAAAAAAGGGAAAAAAAAAAAAAAAAAAAAAAAAAAAAAAAAAAAAAAAAAAAAAAAAAAAAAAAAAAATTAAAAAAAAAATAAAAAAAAAAAAAAAAAAAAAAAAAAAAAAAAAAAAAAAAAAAAAAAAAAATACATTTTCCGACCCCACATCGATAGGTTCTGATAAGCGGTTCTCGAGATTTTGAATGAAACCTTTAAAAGCCGATAGCTTTATCAAGAAAACTATTACCGTATTTTCTCTAATAGTAGTGCCCGCCGGTGAGCCGAGTTGATGACTTTACGGTTTTCAGGTTTTTACAGAAGCTCAACACTCTAATCCTCCACTAGATCTCATCGTCAGCTACATTTTCCGACCCCACATCGATAGGTTCTGATAAGCGCCTTTCGAGATTTCGAGCAATTTAGGCGACTCTCTGGGTGCACTACTGTTAGAGAGAATACGGTAGCTTTTCTTTACAATAGACTATTAGGAAAAATAAAATACGCAGCATTGCCCGTGCCGTTTACCCTAAATGACGTCGTTTATAATTAGTTTACCATAAGAAAAGCCTAGAGGGCCAGATCAATCACCTGAAAGATCCCTTCTCGGTTCGCGCGACGCATGATTTCTTGATAAAGCAAAGGCGTGAGTCGGAGTCGACGAAATTTTGAATGAACACACAGGAAGTTCAATTCGACCATTGATTTGATCTCAAAATAAATATTATTTCCTTGACATTTTCTCGAACTTTATCGTAGATTCGAATTTTCTGTAGAACTGCCGAGAAGAAAGCAACCAATGCGTTGCTCGACGAACACCGAATGCCACAGTACCATTGCGGAAAGCTGCCTATGCATACATGATTTTGTTGTTGATTGATGTTAACTTTTAGCTTTCAAACAAACTTTGATACTCCTATAAATTGTGATCTGGCACTTACTAAAGCATTACGTCAAGTTTAGCCAACGAGAAAGGCAAGCTAGAGTGAATTAAAATGAAATACCTGGTGTGAGCAAAGCCCATCGCAGAAACTCGAGAGAGTAGTCGAAACGAAACATGTTATCGTCATCTTCCACATAGTGGTCCCTGAGGAAAACGTAGAGTTCACTCAACTGGTCGTCATCCTAAAATAATAAAGGATATTTGGGGAAAACTCTCGAAAGATCTCACCCTTAAATCGACGTCACTCCATTTAAGATTGGCCGGCAAAGTGAGTGGTTGGACTGAAATCTGAACAAGACAATCACATCAAATCCTTAACGACTCAAATATTGCTAACCCATTCACTTACCTGATCGGGCTCTCGATCAGCCAGAATAAACGTGTTCTCTTCAACAATTTCATCAAATTGGGGTACCGGTTGAGTGCTCCAAAAGTCATATCGATAATTTCGCGCTTCGTCGAGATTTCGTGGAGCTTCCCGCTGAAAAAGGCCATCAAAAAGTTTGAAATCAGTGAAGATATTTTTGAACTGACTTAAAATTTGAATAAAGCGGGAAATTTGGAATCGTATGGAGATATACTTTGATTGTTTTGCTGAGTGAAGCATTTACAAAGACAAATAAAAAACCAAACAAACGACCAAGAAAACCCACAATTAAAAAAAGCAGACACACGGCCCACCTTTAAGTCTTGGGTTTTTTGGGATACCACGAGAGGCATACATCTCGATGATTTCAAAGCAGCCAACATAGCAGATTGGGTCAATTTCTACGTTTAACAAGCAAGGGTTTAACAAGCAGTATTATTTGAAGTTTAAAAGTGGCAAACATTTCTTTTTATTCAAACCAGTTAATTTGGAATTTCAAGAGTTTTTAGTAAAAACTTACAATTGACAAGCTTTCCAAAAGATCTTCTAGAACCATTTTACAATGATGGAGGAATCTCTTGCGAAAATATGTTGACTAAAAAATAAAAATAAGAAATAAAAAGACTAAACAAGATAAGAATCTTTGAAATCTCTTTGAAAAGAGCAAATTTAAAGAGTGAATGCAAGTGGCCGACCTTGAAGTGATTCCTCTTATCTTTCGCAAGATAATTGCTTTATTAGAGCCATCGATTCAGCACATAAAAGGTTTGGTGAGATAGATTTTTGCAAGAAAATATCCCCAACGACAGTCAATCATTGATTTCCCTTTTTTGAAAGCTCAAAAATTGGTCTTTTATCTAAAATTCATTACAAATACAAATACAAATATATTTTGAACTAAAATATAGTACCAAAATGTAAGAAACCCCAATTTTTAGTAGAAGTTGAATCTAAAAGAAAACAGTTTTTCGTTGAATAAAAGAAATTGAATCAAACAAGAGTTGCCGATTTTTGTTGGTTTTTTGAGAATGCTGTTAGAGTGCAAAGCTCTACTTGTCATGCTGTTATTTAAATTCTATGAAAATTATAACTATACCTTTTTCAGGATTGCATTTTGCAAGCGCTGTTTGGTGGAGTTCAGCTTAAAAGTTTGGTGTAAAGATGATGCGTCTCGGTGACCACAGCCGATTTGGAAACCAACAATCTAAATGTACTTTCGAAAAAAGATCTGAAAATTTTTGTGAAAAACTTGTCAAACCTTTTAGTTTATCATTTAGATAACTTTTGAAAGCAATAAATTGAAAAAAGATAAGAACTGATTTGTTTTCATAAGGATTTTAATTTGTAATGAAAGGCGCCGAAACGAAGAGCAAAGTTTTCGGCTCGTTGGCCAAGAATTTGGCGGCAATGGCAATGGATGGGGGTTTTTTTCAGATAAAACTTCGAACAAAAACACTGAGCTGAATATTTTGTAAATGGGGAGCAATGGCTGCAGCTACAAAAACAATTGAATACTTTTAGATTTCACATGATTTTAAAAGTATTCAATTCAACTTTCATTCCTTCTCTCACGCTCTAAAATCTTTGTTTTCATTTAGAAAGAGGGCAGAAAGAGGGTTTTATTGGATTGGTGAATTGAAAACTGCCTTTGAAATATTGTTCTAGTTCTCAAAGAAAACTGTTGATCTATTGGGTTGGTGAATTGAAAACTGCCGGCTATTGTCATATCTCCCAGTTTGAGCACTTTCTTCAAAAGAAACCCATTTTGGTGTCAATGGAAAAGTTGTAGAGAACCAAAAATCAAGCTTATATCCTTATTTTCAGAACGATTCAAAAACTGGTTTTCAAGAAATGCCAAATTTACGAATTTTCCCAAAACTTGCATTTTAAGCGAAACTACTTTTGGTATCTTTTTGGAAATTTAGCTATAAGCCTAATTTTTGATTCTCTACAACTTTTCCATTGACACCAGAATGGTTTTCTTTTGAGGAAAGTGCTCAAACTGGGGCATCTCCAGTCCTCCATTTTTGAGTCTCACATTTGTCTCACACACAAACCAAAATCCTACGAAAGAGGAATCCGCAAATTGCCTGTAAAATGGGCAGAAGTCGTCAATAATAATGGAAATTATTTCGAATGAATTCATGGTTTTATGTTGAATAAATTTTAGTTCAAAGTCCCGCAGTTTTCAATTCACCAACCCAATAACACACGGACGGAGTGAGCGGAAATAGATCAAGAAAATTTCACACAAAGTGTAACATGACTTTGGGCATTACATCGTTAGTACTGCCCAAAGTAAAAGTATGCAGTTGAAAAACATTCTTGAGTTTCTTTTATATATTACTATGTTCTGGAGCCTTTGAAAGACAAATATTATGTTTTTCTTTATATTATATTTAAAAGTTTTTATTTTCAGTAGCTATTAGGAAGCTTTATGAACTCGAACAACAATCTGGCTTTAATCACCATTTTTTTTAAGACTCAAACAGGAAAGCTTCTTGAAGAAAGCACAAAGCTCGAACAGGAAAGAGATGGAAAAGTTCCGAGTTCTAGAAGAATAGTTTCAAATTCTAACAAAAATAAAGCCATTCTAACACCAACAAAGCCATTCTAACATCAACAAAGCCATCCTAACAAAGCCAGACGACTAGTTTTCTTCTGTTTCACATGTCACCACCTACAAAGCAGCTTTCAATATCTAAATTTACTTCAAAAAAGCCCACGTCATGTGTATTATTTTGTCCTTCCAGCCAAATTAGAACAGACAAAAATGGTTTAACATGGTTGAAGAGAAGAAACCCTGAAAAGACTTCAATCAGTACAATAACAATCGATGATACTCGTAAAATATAAAATGAGATTAGCATTCTGTTTTGAGTTCATTCATTACTGCCTCTTTCTTTTAATATATCTATGCTATGTCTATGTTGAGATTTGTTGTTTTTCTTTCCAGTTCAAAAAAGATTTAGCCAACTTCAATGAAAGGCTTCTCAGAAACTTTCTCAGACATTCTCAACCAAGTACAATTTTGCTAAGATTTTCTTATGCATATTATCATTCGTATAAAAGGAATTCCATGAGAAAATCTAGCCAATTTCTTTCAATAAAATACTTGATTCGATGCGTTTTCTCCTTTTTCTCGAACGATTTCGCGATTTCTTTATTGTTTTGGGATTGACTTCAGCTTTGGAAGGTATTAAGATTGAGTGAATGAAAAGTGCACACTTTCTACAGTAATCCATATCGTTTTGGATTATTGTTCAGCTCAGAATTGGCACATATCCCAAGTTGATCTCAATTTGACCTCGGTGAATGACATCAACAAATACATCTTCTTTACTTCTTTTTTAGTATGTTGACAAGAAAAGTTCTTTGTGTGAGTCTTTCAATTCAAATTTAGTCCGTCGTTCTCAGTATTTTCATTTTCCCGATCGCAGCTTTTGCCTCGGCTTCGAATGAATATTTGTCAAGACCAATCCGGTATGTATCGTCAATTTAAAATTAGAATAATCTCTAGCAATCTTCTACGACATCATAATTTCGAGAAGTGGTACCACACCTTTTCCAAATTTTTGATGCACCTAGCGTCAGCGTCATGATAATGCTCATTCAATCATTGATGGTCACATTGTGCTACTGCGATGTTATATGATGTGTGCTCTTGATTTGATCACATATCGACGTTTGAGAAAGGTTCACTACTTTTTCAAAAAGTTGTCCGGATAATTTTGAGACACCCTTAGGTAGAACTTTAAGAGTGTAAAGTCAGTTTTGGCAAATAAGGCTAGATTTTAGCTCAATTTGCTTAATTAGCCGCAATTTTATTTGAAAATTCCAGTTGAAACGACAAGGGAAAACGATTTCACGTGTTGACAAAATGCTGATGATACAGGTTTTGCATTCTTTCCGTTAAAGCACATTGCACATTCTACGGGGTTTTCTCTATCTTTTGATACCAAAAGCATAAAAATTGATAAACCCTATAAAAAGTTTTGAAAATAAAAAGGTGGTTTCTAGGTTATGGCACACTATATTGCGGATAAATTACCGTAACCCGGAAGGAAAAAAAAGCAAAATTAAATTTTTTTTTGCTACAATCAAACCATTTTCGCTTTTTTCAAGATGTTTCACATGCTTCCCGTTAAAGCACAGTGTTCGTTTAGATGTTGTCGAACTCATTGACGGCTCTCATCAGCACTGTGCTCTATGCAGTTGTTGCCATTCTTGTCACTCTATTCTTCGGCAAGAATCTTTTAACCGTCTATTGGGCGATCATTCTTTTTGTTCAACTATTTTTCTTCTGCTTCATAGCCAGGTGAGGGCTTCTGGCTGAAAAGATGTGAAGGAAGATTGAATTTTTGAATTGAACTTGAACAAGAAAAGAAAGAAAGAAGAAAAATTGAACAAGAAAAGCAAGCAAGCAAAAATTTGAGTTACTTCTTGAAAAACAACTGTACGTATAGACTTTATAACTTGATTTTTGAATATCTGGACCAATCCCGTCTCTGTGTGTTCGCTAAAATGGCTGTTTCAGTGTGATGAATGTGATCTGTTTGAGTAAACCTCGATCTCCACAAACAACGTCGACCATTTCGATTTCAACTCGACGAACAAATCCCTGAACAAAGGCTCAACTTTGTTATACTTTCTCTTTTAGACGATAAAATCAGAACGCAGACATACAAATTGATGGGAAATGAGCAAAGTGTTCCACAAAAGTTTGACCTTTTTTCGAGAGACAAATTATGGGACAATTCGGAGAAGAGCCCACGAGGGCTACGTGGGAAAAGTTCGCTTGATTGCAGTTGCTGTACTCGATCTTTTAAATGTTTGTATCTACCGTAAACACTGTCAATCTACGAATGGTTCCGGCGGTGTCATCGATGCCATCTAAACAACTGAATTTTAATGGGTCTTTAGGTGCTACCCAGGACAGGTTCACTACGCCCACGAAGAGGAGACGTGAGCGATACCACTCAACCTTAAGCGTAATGAACTTGTCCTGGTTTACACTTGTGCGAGAACATTCAAATAAAAAGAGGAAACAAAATAATACTAAAGCATTCAAATTTAACGCCGCGGAATTTTTTATGCGAAGAGAAACAGAAAAAACTGATTTTGTGGGAGAATCCGAGGCCTTTTATAGGCCTCCGACGTTCTTAGGTGCGGTACGTTTAGTGTTGTTTAAAAGTACCAGCGGGAGTTTAAAAGAATGAATTCGATGACATGAACAATTCAATTCGATGACATGAACATTGATGGAAACGGAGCGTAGGCTAGATATCGAAAATTGCAACAAACAGTTAACCCAAAAGACAACTCAAAGACTTCAACTCGACGAACAAATCCCCGAACAAAGGCTCAATTTTGTTATAATTTCTCTTTTAGACGATAAAATCAGAACACAGACATACAAATTGATGGTAAATGAGCAAAGTGTTCCACAAAAGTTTGACCTTTTTTCGAGAGACAAATTATGGGACAATTCGGAGTTCTTGAGAAAAGTTCGTTTGATTGATTGCAGTTGCTGTTCTCGGTCTGTTAAATAGAGGTGCTCAGAGAGCAAGGTTTTTAGCCCAGTTTTGACCCTTTTTAAAAAAAAACGATAAATAGCAAAAAGGTTTTTGGATTTGAGCAAATGCTTCGACGGTTTTGTCTTTATGTTTTCTGGTCGCTTCCTTTAAACGATGCTGAAAGCAACTCGATCTTCACCCTGACAAAAGAGAACGCCTTTCACGGAAATCGCTTCAAAGAAACTTGAAAGTGTTTTTTTGGGTATGAAAAAAAACGATAAGTTTAAGTAAAAGTTTGTGCATTTTTCAAGGTCTAAAATTTTTTATTTTAATTTTAATTTTTCAAGGTGAAAATTCTCAGAATTTCTTTATTTATTATATAGGGAAATTATAGTAAAGTAAAGCAAGCAAAGCAAGTAAAGCAAGCAAAGCAAGCAAATCCACAATGTGATCTCCATCATTTTCCAAAATTTGAGCTCATCGATCACGCAAAAGTCTGATTCCTCTTTGTTTGTTTTATTTGTTTACTGGAAGAAATCGGTCATTAATATGAGAAAGTTGAGAAATGAAAAAGTCGCGATCATTTCAAAACTTAATAGTTTAGTTTTCCGCTTTAGGAAAAACCCTGGGGATTTTCTATTTGTGAATTCTATTTCTATTTTCCCTTTCTCTTTTCGGCTTTTCTCAATTTTTGCATTGTGACTCATTTCTTATCAACTCTTTTTCTCTTTCTTTTAGCTCAATTTAAAATCAGTCAACTCACTCAATCTTTCACAGAAATCCAAAAATATTCGCTTTTAATGACTAATTGCTTGATTTCGGGGTAATCCTTGAAAAAAAACCTTTAAAAGTAGGCCCCTCTGAATCAAAAGAGGTGATTCTCATTTGAGCTTTATTGAAGAAACAGTTTAAGGAGAAATGGCAGCGATGAGAAACAAAAAAACTTTCAATCCACTAGTTTACTTGCACATGACCAGGTAGTTTTTCTTTAGAAATATTCCTTATCAATGTACTTATCTTTTTAAGAAATCTTTCTTCCAAAACGATTCAGTTTCAAGTCAAACTCTGGTCTAACTCCAGTTGTTTAATGATTTAGTTACTTCCAGACTAACGAAAATTTGAAAAGATGAAAAGAACAAAATTTCTAGACACCTCATCAGCGTGAGTCTAAAACGGATCAGGTATCAATTACACTTTAAAATCTAGTACAAGACTTTAATAGCATTTTCGTGATTCCCTTGTGCACCCCCCTCAAAATGGGCCAACCGATGTGGCATTACAGTAGTTAGAAAAAAACTTTAACTTTTACACGGTTTCAGTAAACTCTTGAGATCTGATTCGGATCCGTTACCCTTTTTTCACTTATTCACGTATTTAATAAATGTCTTTTCTAAATTAAAGCCTTAAGTCAGTTTTTGTGATTAAAAAGGTGGTGATTGACTTATTTCAAAGCTTTTAGGTAACAAAAAGTGTTTTGCTAAGAATTCAGACTGTTTAGAGTAATGGTCTGAAAGCTTACCTAAATAAATCCCAAAGTTTAGGCATCCAGTTCCAAAATTGCGGAAATAAATAAAAGAAATAACCTCGACTCCCGAATCGGAAGAGGTAAGAATGAGAAAATCGATTTGTTTAGCTAAGTTTTACAAAAAGCTATCTCAAAAAGCCATTCCTTTTCTGCAATGCCGCATTCGGATCACTGGGATTCCTTTCGGGGTCGATGAGAGCTTCTTCATCAAGCTTCTCGATCAGAAAACGATTCACGGTGTTTATGTGCATATCCGGATTGTAAAAGGCAAAAACTTGCAAGTTATTGACTTTGTTTGGTGCACTTTTGATTGATTTTATTGTTAAGAAAACAGGAGAAGGCAATAGGGAGATGCAGGAGATGCATGTCACCTGGCCCAAGCCTGTAACACTTGAGTACAACATTTTCAGACTCGTATTCACCCCAGCCACCACCAAGACAGCTCTGAACGGTCAATGTTTGATGAACTCGGTGAAAGCGGCAAAAGCTGTTTGTTTTCCAACGAAATGAAAGTAAAACTCAAATTTAGGTAATCAAGAAATTCAACGGATCTATCTTTCCTGATCGATCTCATCGAATTGGTGTCAATTTTTTTGGGTAAAATCTCGAGTCTACTTCTTTTCTCAAAATTTTCGAGTCTTTCTGTTCTGAATCTGTTCTGAATTATGAATTAGAAAAATTAAATAAATCTGTGCATTCAATTTGAATAAATATTCGTCGAAGTTTGACAAAAATTTGCACCAAAATGAGTCTGGTATCCGGTCCTAGGTATAAACGGATGTGGACTAGAATTTGGGTTAAGTTAAAGAGAGTGGATCCTTTTGATATCCCGCCATCTCTAACACCCCGACAACCCAACTCAACTCCTCCAACGTATTAGAGGGGAGTCCCTGTGAAATTACCGACCTTTACTGCAGTTGCATAGACCCGGAAGATATGTATCTTTATTTACAGTAGTACAATAAGACGAATAGATTACAAATGAGTGTAAGGGGAAGGAGGGACTCCAAATGAGAGTCTCACTTGTCCTCCTAGGCAATCCCAAGGACCGCCCCTTCTCGGCAATAAAAGGGATAAGCACAGGGGAGAACACATTTGCATAAGAATAGACAAATCATTCAATAATAACAATAGTAACTAAAATATCAGTTTGGCTCGGAGCTGACACTGGTCATATTACCTGATAGGAAATATTTGATTCAACTCTTAAGAAAACTTGAAAGTTCTTTGATCTTTGACAAGTAACTAGGGTTTTTTAGCATTCCGCAAATCATTTTTGCTCTCGAATACTCATCGGCAAGGGTGGACACCGATAGTTGGTTGGCCATTTGCTATCGATTCTAACAAGGGAATGTCAACCAGGCCAAATGACACAGGCCATAGACTATTCGATGCAGAATTTTACGCTGATTCCGAATCTGCTTTCCATTTTTGCTAAATAGCACTCTGTCAAAAGTTATAAGCGTGCAAAGTTTCGTATGGGATTTCAAAAATCATTCCTCAAGTTTATAAGCAGATTTCCCAGCGATCGTATAAAGCAGCGGTGGCCTAGTGGTCGTTGGCTAGAGTACAAGGCAAGGTCTCTCGAGTTCTAGTCCGGAGTTCAACTTTTATTTTGCTTTTTTAGGGGTAATTGATCTCCATTTCGCACTTTAAAGCCCCGAAACTCGGCTTAAAACATTTGGTCACCACATCCTGTTGGCATTCCCTTGTAAGTGACTCGAAAATGGTGACTCAGACGTTGCCAGATCACTTTTTTTTGTACCCAGAAAAAGTACGCTGATAAGACGATTCTTTCGGATTTCCAATTCGAAGCCACAAATTGTTTTTACTAAAATTTGTTCTCCTTTTTAGGATTTATCAAAACTTTTCTCTTTTCTGAACCAAAAAATTTCTTATTTATTCTTATCTAGTTTCACAGTTAGATTCTTCGTTTTTACCTACCGTAAATACTGGAATAGAAGCGCCGCCCCGATTCAGCATAGTCAAAAATCCCTGTGTGCAAAAAACCAGCTCATTTGGCAAAAAAATTGGAATTTGCCCTCTCCCCCCCAACTACTATGGTTTTAAAAACGGACATTTTTCCATTACTAACTTGCTTTAAAAATAACTTTTTCGTGATTAGCGTCATCAATTGCCCCAGGAAAAATGATTTCGGTGAAAAAAAGTGCCCCCCAAAGCCCATTTACCCATTTTTTGCTTCTTTTTTTTTCTTTTTTTTTTCTTTTAAGATTTTTCTTTTAAACACCGGCTGATTCGCTCTGTATCTAAGTTTAACTGTGAAATTATTATAGTGGATGTTTTTCTTGCCAAAAAGACCCGGTTTTTCATTATTTATCGCCCTCCTGATGTAAAGTACGAGAAATTCAGTTACTTTCCATTTTTAAGAAACAAATCGATGCTCTAGATTTAACGGCTCTCCCTCGTAGGTAATCTGATTATTTGCATATTCACTATATCTTGTGCTTTTACTCTATCTTATCTTCGTATCTTTCTTTTGTCTCTACATTTATGACTCGCTGTGCATTTCTCTTTGATTTATTGGGTTTCACTTTATTATATGAATAAAGTATCGTTATTATTATTATTTATATTCAAAAGCCTATGATTTTTCATGGGACTTATTTTTTTGAAACTTTCATCTTTAGTTCTTTAGTGTTCTCTACAAAACTCTCAGGATGGGTCTTTTCTCTTCAAAAGAGGTGAGAGTTTGTGTAAAAAAGAAGTGTAAACGGCTTTGGATTAATTGAAAATTTGTTTTGACTCCGTTTTGGATTTCTAAAACAAAACTATAAACTTAGATTTTATTAGAAACTTGAAAAAACGTTGATTTTCTATCAAAGCTTTCACTCTTTAAAAAGACAATGTATTCCCTTCCATTTCATGCGAATCGATATCCATCTGATTGCGAAAAAAAGCCATCCCCTTTGCAAAAAATATTGGCTCTTGAATGCATTTTTGTTTCCATTTCCTCCTTACCCAAAACAAAACAACCTTTAGCCTTACTGAAATTTAGTCTTTTCACATCACTGTACTGGCTTTTGTCAGTTTTTGAGTTATTTGTCTAGTAGTTCAGCTCACCTTCACTAGAGGAACAGCTCAACAAATTTTAGTCTTTAGCATTCTGTTCAAAAGATTTGCTTTCTAATGTTTTCAAAGTTTCTAATTTCTAAGTCTGGGTTTTTTGCTTACGATATGTAAACATTCTCTCTTTCGAAATGCCCCTTTTGGAGTCACCGTGCTCTCAAAAGTACTCCCGATTTTCATTGGGTAAGCCCAAAAAAAGCTTTCCCGTTTCATGCGGGGCTAATTAATTGGCTTAAAGGGGATTCCCCAAAGTAAAACTGTTTTCGGCTTCAACTTTATTCAAATTTCACACATTTTTTCGCCTTTTAAGCCAGTATCATTTTTAGCAGCTGAACCTTTTGCTTCGTGTTTTTAACAACGATAAGATTTTCTCATAATTCTAGTTATTCTAGTTTTGACAAAATTTCTTTTCAAGTCTTCGTTTTACCAAACAAAACAGTGTCAGTTTTTGCCTTGTCTTCAAAACTGTCCTGCTTTTCTTGATCTTTTTTTGAAAAAGCAACAATTTAGTGCTCTTCCTATAGTTCTTTTCTAAAAAACTCCTCTGTTTATTGATCCATAGAGAATTTCGGCAGCAGCCTAGGGGTGGGTTTTCAGGGAAACTCTTGTGAAATTCTCAGTAAATTAGGGCGGAACCCCGCATACCACTCCACCCAATTATCCCTGACAGGCAGCACGAGTGTTTTCGGAGTGTTTGGAAAAGGTATTCCTTTTTTTTCAAACAACATTTTGACTGCCCATCAGCTCTTTTTCGCAATTTTAAATAATCAACGCTCTCAATGGCGATAGTGCTTGGCATTCTGGCTGGTTGCGGTGTGCTGCTGCTGGGCTTTCTGCTGTTTAAGCAACAAAAAAAAGAGGCAACGTGTAGGTTGACAAGATAATGCTTAGAAAAATGCGATCAAGTTTACAAAGCGAACATTTTTTACCTTCCAATTATCCCCAACAAAAATAGGTATTTGAAAAAATTAGAGTCAAGTCAAAAGATTGTTCATTTTATCTCGACTACAAACTTTTTAAAAAAGTCAATCGATTTTTACCTGAATTCTCTTCAAAATCTATCCAATTCTGGGCATTCTAGCTGATTGCTATCCTTCTACTACTTATAAGCGGCAAAGTTTGTCTGTATGTGTGTCTGTTCCGCTGTTTGAGAGAAAATGACTGAACCGATTGCGCTGAAATTTTATGGGTAGGTGCAAACCTCTATCTATTTGCAAAATATAAAAATTGGTTCAGAAAAAAATGGAACAGACCAACAGCTACTGCGCAATTTTATTAATTCTTGAGTATTTTTCCGCACGGCCAACAGGTATGAAAATGACTTCGTGCGCGCCCGTGGCCGAGTGATAGGCTCGATCGAAAATCCATCGAACCAATTTTTTTGAAAAGTCCAAAAGCTGCAAAACTAGCCGAGCCCAATGTTGCTTAACTCCGCGCGCGCAGATGGCCAAGTGGTTAGAGTGCACGTCTCTCAAACGAGAGTGGGAAAGAGGAGTCGTGGGTTTGGTCCCCTCCGAGAAAATTAGTTCCAGTGTCGTTAGAAAATAGACTCCTTTGTAGACTAAAACATTTCATAAAAATTGCTTAGATTGTAAGAGAAGTTTTAAGAATTTCGTTATTTAAATATTGTCTCTTTATTTCGCTATGATTTTGTGCAACTTTAAGCTTTTAAGACAGAATAGCAAAGTGCGTTTACAAATTGATAAGTTAGATTTATCCCGAAACCCTCTTCTTGCTAAGTGAAAAAGTCCAAGTTCTACTTTAGTTTAAAAATCCAGAATTTCAGGAACAACCGGCACCTTCTGGAGCCAATTATTATCAGAATTTCAGCAATCAGCCCGTTTGTAGATGATTACCTTTTCTTTACAAAGTCTCTTTTAGACCCCCAGACCTCAACCCACCTACCACTATGTTGCAGCAAGACCGGCGAGACCAAACCCCCAGGTATGGTCTTAATTTTTACCTATGTACTTTTATTTATGTAAAAACGTCACAAACAAACATTTATGAATGTGATTCAGCCACAAACGACAAGACTTCCTGGATATGGGCAAGGAACGGGAGCAACGTTGGGCGGTCGAACAGCAACGACGACTGCACAGGTTTGTCTAGTAAACCGTAAATACCGTAAATACTGTAATAGTACCCCACCCCCATAATGACGGTGCTGGTTGATACTGGTTAACTGGTTGAGTTTAGTTTTAGTTTTAGTAAACAAGTTTTAGAAGAGTTATGTTTGAATTGAAAGAGGAAACCCGTTTAGGCTTCTTCCTCTCGAAATACCCTGGACGCACCAAGAGCCTACAATCCCTATGATTGGCTCGAACACAACACCATTCCACAGGTAAACTAGAGATCAGAGATGGGTAAAATAAATCCAAAGTCTAGTCAAGACCGTTGAAAGATTGGGTGAGCGTGTTGGGGGCTCAACGAAAAATGGCTCACATCCTCGACACGATCGAGCAGCATTCCTTGTGGAGTGACTACCGCTTTTTGATGAACACAAGCTATTCGGACAAAGTGCAAAATCGATATCAAGGCAGTGCTTCAGCTCAGCTAGCGTTGGTTTTGGTTTTTCAGATTTCAAAATTTTATTTGTTCTCTTCTATTTCGTTTTATCCAATCTAGATTGGACCGCCTGAACGAAACGCTTGAGCTGATCTCAAAGTATGTGCAGTTCATTTTGCCGACGAAATTGGCGCAAATCGGAAGAGTGGCTGGAAGTGGGGTTTGAAGGGTTTAAAATAGAATTAGCAAACTAGAAAACAATGTAGTTTTTGCTTGGGATTGAAACTAAATAAACAGATCTAAATTTGCTTTCTTTAGCCCCACTCATCAAAGATCTCGATTGGCTTCAAACGGGCATCGAAGTGGTCGGTTTTGTTAGAAAACAGATTCTAAAACCTTCTTAGGAAATGGCTGGAAGGCAGATGATTGTGGAGGGCCTCGATGAAGAGCTTCTCATTTATGGACTCCCATTCTTCCTCTTGAGAAACAACACGATTCGATCGATTTGGTGAGTGGTCATAGAATGCAAGAAACTGATTTAAAAGTGAGCACGTAAAAGAAATTGAATAGAGCGCAGCAAAAAAGGTAAATTATACTAACAAATGTGTATTCAAATCACCATAGTTTTTGTTTCAGGTTCTGGAAAGACACGGCGGGAACACAGTGCGCTTTCATGTCGCCAGAAGTCGACTTTCCTAGAGATCAACGAACTCGGGTTTTTTAGCACTCTAAATTTGAACTGGAGAAGTTATTTTTAATTGATTGAGTATATATAGTGTCATTTTTATTTATAAATTTTAATTTACAATCATTTCGTTTCACTATTTATTAAAGAAAAACTATTTTGTTTTACAGGTGGTAGACGTTTGGAAGCGGGCAAGAGCCGAGAGGAATCCCCGTCCACGAAACGAGCACAGAAATCTGCAAAGACCGAATCGACCGGGAACCGCAATGCCCAGGAACAGGGCTACTTCAGCAAACAACAACGACAACAAGTAACTTATCGAATATCTACTAAATATCCAAATGAACTTAAGAAAATTAACACTTATTTCGGAAATTTAGTGGAAACCGTCCATCAATTCCCACCACTATGCCGGCCGTTCCCTCGTCCGCCACCACTCAAGGCATCGAGGATTTGAGCTGCCCGATTTGCTATGAAGACTGTAAGTTAAATGTTTTAATTTAAACGTAAGAACTTTAATTCTTATTTCTACATCAAACTACAAAAGTTTAGACAACGCGGATGACTCAAAACCACTGAACCTCGTCCCATGTGGACATTCGGTTTGCTCTACGTGTCGACCAAGAATGTGAGTTTAAGTCAAACTCAACAGTGCTTAATTTGTTTTCATAAATAGGTTCTTATTTAGCAACTTGTTTCAAGTAATCCGAGAGCACTTCAACTTTTAGCCACCAATGCCCGACATGCCGCTCGAGTATCACTGGCAGCTCGGTGGCTTTCACTGTATTGGGTAAGTTTGGCTCTCTAAACAAGTTATACCCAAGAAAACATAAAAAAAATATAAAGAATTAAGATTAGAGTTATGATTTATCAACAAACAACCAACTCAAGGTGTCCTCGAGGCGCTGTCGAAAGAGAACGCCGAGCTGGCTGCACTTCGAGCACTGAAGGAGACACAAGTGGGTGGACTTGAGGAGTTTAGTGAATATGGCTGCTTAGAAATCTAAACGACTGAATAAAATTTTAGGAACGTGAACTGAAAGAGCTGAAGCAGAGAGAAGAGAAGCTGAAAGCGGAACTCAAAGCGGCCAAGACTGCCCCAAAAGTAGAGACCCCTGTTGTTGAGTCGAAAGAGGGAGGAAGACCAGGAAGGCAAAATGAGCAACCCAGAGATCTGGTAGTCTTATCTTTAGTGGTTTTTTGATACTAAAAAAATGTTTTTAGAGTAACAACCAGAACAAGATCTTCATCGATCAATTGCCGAACGAGTTCACGGTAAAGGGCGTGATCGAGGTGCTTTTTAATGGAGAAAAGGACTTGATGAGGCATGAGAGTGGAAGGTTTGTTGAAAAGCGGAACAGAAAAAGGCTAGATACCTAATAAGTATTATTTAAAGAGAATTTTGGTTTCTTCTAGGCCCGATGTCTCTCTTCGCCAAGCCGGTGACCATCAAACGTGTGTCGCGAATTTCACCTCAATGGAGGCGGCTGAGAGGGTAAGTCTTGTTCTGTAGCGTAAACTTTTTCAACTTTTTTGAAAACTTGATACAATAGTTAGAAAAGAAGTTTTGATACAGAAAAACTCTATTTTTTAGGTGATTTCAAAGTGGAACGGCATGCTCATGGACAATTGCAAGAACCTCTTCGTTCGAAAGTTCATCATTGCCAACAACGAACAGCCGCAGAATCAAAAAAATAGGAAGAAAAATGACGGTTTGTTGAGATATTCTCGTAAAAGGAATATCAACTTTAGGTAATCAACGACGGAACAAACAAAACAATCAAAACAATCAAAACAACCCATCAACGTCGAGACAAGGACAAAATGGACAGAATCTAGCGGCTGGGAAGAAAAATGGGAACTCGAATGGAGATACTACAACAACTGATGCTGAAAAAAAGGTTTGTTCAACGTTTTCTAATAGGTTATCAGAAAGTGACTCTTTCAGTTCATATCCTTGACTTAACCCCTAATAAAATAGGGGAAAACGTGAGGAAACACCAGTCGTTTGTTTTATTAAGAGTGTGAACCTGAGCTATTCTGCATACCTTTTGTTACTTGAAATCTAGGAAAATGACTTTAAAAACAATACTATAAAACTCTAGTTACCACATTTCAGCGATGCCGCCTTCGACTCACCAAAATCCCACACGGAATCGACGAGGATTTCATCCGATTGCTCTTCCATGGGAAATTAATTGACGGAGTTTATTGCGAGATCGGGATAGATAGAGGGAAACTTTTGTAAGTCTCAAAAAATATTTATAGGAGCAAAGTTTTACATCTCTTTCAGAATCGATTTTGTTCCGGCAACGAAGGAAACGTCTTGTGACGGCCGATGCATCATCACCATGGGTACGCCAGAGGCAGCGAAAAAGGTAGTTCTTTGAAAATTAAAGCTATTGTAAAATTCAGAATCTTTATTTCCGAACAAAAGGTAAACTCATTTTCGTTCAGATTCAAACCAAGTTCTGCAACTGGACCATCCCAGGTTCGAACAACAAGTTGGGAGTCGCCTACTGGCCATGAGAGTGATGATTTTGGTGAAATTTGGAGTTTATTATTGCCTTTTTGTTGCATAAAAATAGAAAATAAAACTATGTGCATGTCTCTTTTTGGCTAATCCCATCATCAAATCACTTTCCTTCGGTCTTTTTCTCAATCATGATCATTTAAAGAAATCATTAGAAAGACAAAAAATCTCATTTGCATTTGAAAATGTTAGAGCTAAATGTTTTATCGATCCTTTCATTGAAGTTCATCACCTTCTCCCAAAAGCCTGCTACAAAAAAAAAGAATTTCGAGCGAAATACAATGTATTTTTATGCTTTCCATCAACGGATCAAGTAACACAAGAGTTCTGCTTGTCAGATTTTTGCCCGTAGTTACAAAGTTGTAATAAACTTTTTAGTTCATCAAACCTTTCACAAAACATTTCAATTTTCTTTCAACGAAAAGACACGTTGCATAAAAATGAATGAAAATGATAAAAAACACATTCAATATGTTTCAATGAATGGTATTTTTTGAATTGACTGTTTCAATTGGTTTCATTGACATCAAAGTTGAAAGAACCCATAAATAGCCGGGGATTTCTCCTCGGACAGCTTTTTCTTCGTCAAAATGGGGAAAATCAATCAGTTTTCTTGAGGCTTTATAAATCTTTCAAATCTTTATTCAATTCTTTCCTGTGAAGACTGCCATAGCTATGATACTTTAAAAAATATGTCTTTTTGCTCAATTTCGGTTTGAATCGAAACTCTTTTAAAAAAGGCGATTAGAAAATCTCTTATGTACGATAGATTATCATATAATGTGAATGAATAAAGTGTTGGACTAAAAATCTATATTATAACTCTAATATGATACCACGATGTCAGTAAAAAGTTTTAATTTTATGATTTTCAAAAGTCTCATGATGGTGGTAAAAAATTTTCGTGTATTGAGGGTCGTGCAAATGACAAAATTTCGAAAAAAGTCATAACTTTTTCAGACAGAAAAAACACTTTTGGCATCAGAGTTGCCACCAAAAGCCACTACAGATCAAATTTTCATGAAAATGATTTCTGAATTTAGAAGCATTTTGTTTGCGAAGGTAATCCAAAAATAAAAAGGACAAAACAATGAAGGATCGTTTGAAAACACTCAGTCAGATCACCGGCTGATTAATTTTCTGCTATATTCGCTGATTTCAACAGATGTCCGATCCGCCACCTTGCCTTGCAGGCTTGCAGGAGCAGGTGTGAGCTCGAATCGCTAAGATCAAACTGAAAGATGAAAGATTTCAGCTAAACTATCGCTCATTAAGTCGACTTCATCATCAACAACAGAGTTACTGTTTTGAGGATTAATGGAAGCCTCTTTATGCTCTAAAACTCACCCACTATGCTTTTTTTTGTTTTCCATTTTTCACTGATGAATCCCATTTTTCGGAAAACTTTTTATAACATAAACGTCGAGTTACGGCTGTGAGGCAAGTTTCATTTCTTGCCCAATTGATTGTCCTTCACTCTCCTTTACTTCGTGGATTAGGGGTCGTGAAAATAAAAGATTTCAAAAAAGTCATAACTTTTTCAGACAGAAAAACACTTTTTTGGCACCAGATTTGCCACCAAAAGCCACTACAGATCGTGAGGAAATTCGACGCGAACTCACTTTCCTTTTTTTCGAACACCCTGGACATAGCCTACAATTATTGTAAATCATTCATTTTTAAGGCATATGCAAAATTAGCATATCTACGCAGAAAGCGTAACCAAAAACCCTTTTCATTTTCATTTTGCAAAATTTTCCTGCGGGTATTTTAGTATTTTTATAACACTCATTTTCTACTATATTCTAGCTCATTATAAAACTCTAGTAGATCTCAAACTGTCCAGGAGTTACTAATTTGCCCTCAAACGTAAAAACCAACTGTTAAACTGAAAATGGTGACTCAGACGTTGCCAGATCACTTTTTTTTGTACCCAGAAAAAGTACGCTGATAAGCTGGTTCTTTCGGATTTCCAATTCGAAGTCACAAATTGTTTTTACCCAAATTTGTTCTCTTTTTTAGGATTTATCAAAACTTTTCTCTTGTCTGAACCAAAAAGTTTCTTATTTATTCTTAACTAGTTTCACAGTTAGATTCTTCGTTTTTACCTACCGTAAATACTGTAATAGAAGCGCCGCCCCCCCCGCTCCGTACAGTCGCGTAGTCGCGAAAAATTTTTACTAAATCATTTTTCTAAGCGTCCATGATTTCTAAAAATGCATATTCGGTATCAAAAAATAGCCCTGAATTGCAGCTTTCATTTGATACTGAAGCACGCCTTGTAGCATGAACTGGTGGCGAGAAAAATGCGTTTCAAGTTCAACTACACCGAGAGTTGATTGGCAATATGCTATCGATCCTAAAAAGGGAATGCCAAACGGGTGTGGTGCTCAGACAGTCATTATAGGGGGAGCTTCGATTACAGTATTTGCGGTAGTGTTTTTCTCTTGAATGCGCATAGTCTTGCCTCTAATAGTAATAATCGACTTAATTTCTTTCAAACTATGATTCGCTCGAAAACCTATATGTTTTTCTTGCTACTACAGGGAGATGGCTTGATGAATCTTTTGTTTCCTCTATTCTAGATCCCGGAAATAATTATTCTATTTTGCGTCGTGATTGATCTGACTCTAGAAAATCTCGTGATGGTGGCGCCATTTTTTGGTACTATGGGCTTTGGGGGGGGCACTTTTTTTTCACCAAAATCATTTTTTCTGAGGTAGTTGATGATGCTGATCTAGGCTTTGGCTCCGCGCCTTAGAGACCCGTGGTTCCTAGGCTATTGCCTGATTCTCATACGACTGAGGTGAGTTTCGTACCGGAAGCACGTGGCTTCTAGCTGGAACGAAACTCACCTCAGTCGTATGAGAATCAGGCAATAACCTAGGAGCCACGTGCCTCTAGTGCGGAGCCAAAGCCTAGGTAAATATAGGAGTCTTGAATATTGTTAAAAGTTACGAAATGTTGTGTGAAACCATCACCAAACGATTCAGCATAGTCAAAAACCCCTGGGTGCAAAAAATCAGCTGATTTGGCAAAAAAGTTTGCCCCCTCCCTTCAATTACTATAGTTTTAAAAGCGGACATTTTTCCATTACTAACTTGCCTTAAAAGTAACTTTTTCGTCATCAGCGTCATCAATTAAAAAAAACTCCAGGAAAAATGATTTCGGTGGAAAAAGTGCCCCCAAAGCCCATAGCACCCATTTTTTTGCTTCTAAAATCTTTTAAACACCGGCTGATTTGCTCTGTATCTAAGTTTAACTGTCAAATTATTATAGTGGATGCTTTTTTGCCAAAAAGACCCGGTTTTTCATTATTTATCGCCCTTCTGATGCAAAGTTAACAGACACATCGGTACTAATGCACCTATAGCACTACCCGGCTTTACCCGTGCATCTAAAAGTTATCATCGTTATTTTACATTTCAATTTTAGTTATCGTTGTTACTTTGCGTTTTAAACTAGTTAACTTTCTTACTTTACAAATTCTAGTTATCTTCGTTACTTGAGATTTTAATGAAGTCAATTTTATAATTATAGGGCTGCTGTACGTGAAGTTTGCCGAAAAAGCCGAAAAAGTTTGCCGCCTCTCCCTCTCCCTCCACCCTTCAAGCAGCTTCGAAATTGGTTCAACTTGTTTTACTTCGAAGGAAAGGGATCAGGTCTGTTTGCATTTTGATTTTGTTTATGATTATGACAAAGCGGCGGTGTGTATACTAGATTCTCTAAATCGATCAGATTTTTGTGCCTTCTCAAATACTATTAGCGTGTGGTCATTCTCCTTGAATGATCCCGCCGCATATTTTGGGAGCTAAAAGTAGACTAGCCTATTCTTCCGTAGTTCCTAATATTCACTACCCTTAAACTACTCTCTAGTTAGTAAGGAACTGAATAAGCTCTCCAAATACTGTCGTAAATTTGAGGAAAATATTGAAAGAAATGCCATTAAATCCAAAAACGGGAAGTCTTTTTACACATATTAATTCTAAAACTAACGACTCAAACCAAGCTCCAAATCCCTTCCTTAATCCATCCAATCCTGGTGAAACCTTTTTAGACCTCAAAAAATTGTTCTTGAGTTTGCTAAATTCTTTCAGCCCGTTTACAATAACCAGAAACCTAACGATCCCTTTCCAGCTTTTCCACCTAAACAGATCCCATCACAAGCAAATTTTCTCATTCTCAAGTCTCCATTGAACGTTGGAGAAAATTCAGAAAGGTTCACAAAAATAACTTTATGGAAAATTGACTGTTCTAAATATTCTAGCTTGATTTATGGGGATAGACTTGCTCCTTCTAAACTAAAAACTTTACAACATCGTCGCTTTGTCATTGATCTAGTCGAAACTAGGTTATGGAACTGGTTCGTAAATGACATACGAGAAATTCAGTCACTTTCCATTTTTAAGAAACGAATCGATGCTTTAGATTTAACGGCTCTCCCTCGTAGGTAATCTGATTATTTGTAGATTCACTATATCTTGTGCTTTTACTCTATCTTATATCTTCGTATCTTTTTTTGTCGCTACATTTATGACTCCCTGTGCATTTCTCTTTGATTTATTGGGTTTCGCTTTATTATATGAATAAAGTATCGTTATTATTATTATTATTTATATCCAATGGCTAAATATTCAAAAGCCTAGAATTTTTAATGGGACTAGTTTTTTTATTTTTTGGAACTTTCTTCTTCAGTTCTTTAGTGTTCTCTACAAAAATCTCAGGATGGGTCTTTTCTCTTCAAAAGAGGTGAGAGTTTGTGTAAAAAGAAGTGTAAACGGCTTTGGATTAATTGAAAATTTGTTTTGACTCCGTTTTGGATTTCTAAAACAAAGCTATAAACTTAGATTTTATTAGAAACTTGAAAAAACGTTGACTTTCTATCAAAGCATTCACTCTTTAAAAAGACAAGGTATTCCATTCCACTCGAATCGATATCCATCTGATTGCAAAAACAAGCCATCCCCTTTGCAAAAAATATTGGCTCTTGAAT